CTGGAAACAGTTATCACTAGTTTCCTCAAAACAACCCAAATTCCACTATCCATGCCTATAATGCACTTAAACAGCTGTTATTCAAGAGTTTTGTATGTTGGTAAGCTCTGCATTTCACATTATGAGATGGGGCAAGGAAAGAGATTTATCTGAACATGCTCATTACTTATCAGCAATTAAATTTAAAAAAGTAATATATCATGGAGAAATTACTTATATCTTTAGTCTAGATAATGCAGGCATAGATGTTATAGTAGGTGTCTGATATAGATGAGACATTTTTGTCTCTAGGTGAGACATTAATATCCTTCTGAAGTAAGGCCAATGACCTGAGTTGGGGAGGTTGTGGAAACTCAAAGAAATTAATTGGAGTTAATTAAGAAATATGAATTGAAAGTGAACCACTTAGTCTCTGTGTTACTTTCTTTACAGAAACTGTCATTTAGAATGAAAAAGCTTTAATTATTCTGCTTCTTTCACTTTGAAAGAACATTCAGCTAAAGTGAATTAAAAWCATTTAAAATTTTCAAATCATTTTGTCTCCTAGCAATTTCCTCCCAGCAATAGAAATGAGTAACTCTTTGTGCTTCTCACATAGGCACAGAATTTGTTAGTGAAATGCGCCCAGCAACCACACAAAATAAACCTTACTTCATTCTGTAAGAGATAGTTAAATGCTCTTCAGCAGGSCCTGGGGGAAATTCCTATCTGATCCAGCAAACTAACTAGTTTGTTAATCCAGCATTTTTCTACTGGTTCTCTGTATTATCATCTGCAAAAAGAAAACCATTCCAGATTATTCTCAAAACTTTAAACACAGAACAAGTGCCTGAGAACCAGTGTATTTTAGCAGATAGTTTAAAGAGCCTCTTCATTCCATTTCTAAATAAAACCTCTGTCTCTGTCATTGAAATATCCACCTCATGGTCTGCAGAGTTCAGGATGATGCAGTGAGACAGCTGGTAACTTGGATCACCAGAATATACACAATTAAATAGATAAGATACATCGACTTCAATGACTGCTACCACAGGTACAGCCCTTCTAAAATTCTTTCATCATTTAATACATTGCTGTTTTCTAACATATATATAATCAAAGTACCTAATGATTTCTTCYGGGAAGCAAAGGAAGCCTGGAATATGTTTGTGTGTGTATATATGTGCGAGTGCAACATGCAGTAGTCTCCAAAAGGAAATTACAGTTAGCAGATATCTGCAGCCAGGCTGGAAGACCTTAGAGGAACAGTATACCAGATTGTATCTATCATATGATTATGTAAGTTATCAGAACAAGTCTGGAAAATATGAAATGCACTTGTACATACATAYTGCATAGAGTGAAGGTTTGCAAAGGAGATGAGGAGTGTTTGGCAGCAGGTGGATAATCCAGTGTGCAGACCAGCATAAAGAAGAGATGAAATGATTCCAGCCCTTCAGAGAACATTTCTATGCCCTGGACTGCCAGGCCAGCATGAATTCATCCCCGTTGGACCTGTATTTTATCTCAGTCCTGTTGTTCTACAGTCAAACACAATAGTCCTGACATATGAGCTCATTGTGCCTCTAGTAAAGAACAAAGGACTCTGAATACTTTTTGTCTGAGGTGATCAATACTGGATCTGAAAGATAAGCAGAGAAAGCCATTTCATGTAGCATGGTATTCATCAATATTGCATTTCATTTTTAAAATTTATCAGAAATGTCTGCTGCTTCTTAAAAGACATAATGGAAATGGGAAATATTACTTACTTGTTTTTTTTTTCTTTGAACAATTAGCAAGAGAAGAAAAATATTAAATCAGATTTTTAAGACAGTTTCTCCCTTCTCTGCAGGGAGAAGATACCTACAATGCAGCTGAAGGTGAAGAAATAACTAGATAATTATTAKCATCATCTGATAGCTGAAAGAAGTATTTGCAGGTGAGGCACAGCCCTTAACTACTGGCCATATACTGTATGTACATACCAGTAATACACATGATTCACTCTCCTGCTAAAATGCAGTCACTTTGGATGTTTTCCTAAGGATACAAGATTTACAAAATCTTTTTTTTTTTTTTTTTTTTTCCTGGCATTTCACTACTTCCCTGAATACATTTATTAAATTCTATTTTAACTGGATGAAAGAGAAGTCTCAAATTTAAGTTCACTGCTACGTATTGCTTGCAGAGTCTATGTAGACGTCAGATAGCCATATCTCCAACTGCATATGCAACTTACTTGCCCTCTGCTAAAAACGTGTGATGGAGCAGGAGATGCTGCATAGGAGGAAACCTAAGGAATGTGGACAGTGGTAGTGTGGCAAGGAACATGGTGCAGGTGCCAAGGATATTCAGGGACAACAGTGATGTACAGGGTAGAAGCAACATAAATCCATAGGAATCCAGTGCAGTCGCCTCAAGACACTGTATTTCTGCTCTGTGGCTTTCCAGGGACACAGAAGAATATCTAAATCACCTTGATGGCTCATCCTTCTAACAGGCATTTGCTACACAAGACAAGAGCCATACACGATTGYAGGCAAACCAAAAGGAAATATTAGCCCATTCCCTTGCACAAATGTGTAGTCCTGAGATCTCTTGGAGTAGCTGAGTGCGTGGCTGGGGAGAAGGCAGCTCTGCCAYAGGAGAATACCCAGGTCTGCATTCCTGGGTTGAACTTACCCTGCCTAGAGACAATTTTCACCTCTTTTTTGTTTGTTTGTTTGTTTATTTTCCTGATTATAACTTCAAAACGTTGACCTGCTACAGGCTGAATAATTTCATTAACAGCTGCTGCTCCTCGGCACTTTATTTTGCAGTTAGGCAGCCTGAGCAGCGGCTGTTCCCACATGTTCCTTGGTGCTCTCCAAACCCTCCCTGCTCGGCTGGCAGGTTCCATGGGGTGAAATGAAGTGCCCCAGGTAGCAGCACAGGGCCCATCATAAAACAAGGTTTATTCTTTAGTCAGACCAGTCCCCCTTGGCACTGAGCAGGGGAAACCCACTGACAGAAATGAGCAGGCAGGACTGTGTTTTAAACRGTGTCATTGCCCCCAGATTGCTGGTGACCCTCCACCCTCAGCCTTTCAGGTCTAACAGGAGTGGTTTTAGAGGAGTCCTAGAGCTGTTCAGGGGTAAGAACTCAGACTAACCTGAGAAGTGAGGAGTTAAGAGATGTGGCAGCAGGGAAGACGACAGACAGGGGTCCTCACAAGATAATAATTACTGTAACTTTTGCCCTGAAAAATTGCCATTCTTGTCRATCTATTACTGCTAAATTACTCTGCTGGCTGAAAATGTATCTGAACTGTAGTACTAGATACTACCATGTGGTATGTGTTTCTGGTGATGCCACTTCATAGCTCTCCCACACACATATTGCCACGCAATGGGATAAAACCATCATTCTGTATTTTTATTTATGAATTCTGCAGCTCTAATCCCAAGAACATGCTAACAGACCTCCCAGCAATGTACAGTCCCTTATATCTGACACCTCCATGCATTCTTTGMCTCTTTTCTGTCACATCACTTTTTTTTTTACTTTATTTTTTCCCTAATACAGCAATATTTGGAGGCCTAGGAAGGAACATCTGAGTGGGATGYGGAGGGATGAATCTAAGTGGGAGGAATCATTGTCCTTAAAACTGTCAGCAAATGATGGTCAGCAAGAAGGATAATGGGAAATAAATCGCCTGAGAAACTATGCTTTCTTCTTCTGTGTTTTCATATTACTTTCATAGAATAATAAGGTAAGGTGCCGTTGGGGACATCTGGCAAATCTGCCAGGGGAGAAGACCTTTTCCTGGGAGAGCAAAATGCCGTAGGAAACAAAGCTTGATGCTTGATGATATTTCCATTCAGAGCATTACTTTTCCTCTTGTGTTACTTTCCCCTTCATCAACATCACCTCAACAATATGAAGCTCCAGCTAAGTGATAATTTCTATAAATTGTAAGAATTGAGGATTACAGGTGCACATAATTGAGTTCTTTTATTTATAATGTTTATGAGAGGGAATAATACAAATTGAGACATTAAAATTGAAATTAAAAAAGAAGATGCATCATGCTAGAACTTTCTGATCACAGGACTGGGCTGTAGCAAATTACATCTGTGTTTGACAGAACATAGAAATACACAATGCAAGGGATTTTTCTCTATTTTTTTATTTTTATTTTTAATTTCAGATTTTTCCATTAAAGGGAGGTTAGAGTCTGATAACAATTTAGCCTACCTAATTTGCATTCACTTCCTTTTTTCTGTAGCTGCAGGCATTAAAAAAAAAATTCAAAGCTTGTATCATCTTTCAGATAAGCTGTGACTAGAAATAACGTGTAGAATTTAGAACTGTGATAACAGGACTCTTCAATCACATTGGTATGATTTTGGGGTCCTCAACAGCCCCCTACAAATTTGTCATAGCCAATGAGCCTCCCCTCTTGGTATAAATCAGTATAAATCAGTATAAATATGAGTGGTAGCGCTGTTATTTCTRTGTGTGACGGAGCACGTCCAGGTAAAGCAGCCACCATCTCGCTCGCAAGCTGAGCGTGTGGGAGTGACCCTGCCATCCGCAAAGGCACCGCGACCGTGTGAGTTGGCAACGGGCCCGCAGCATGTACGGCCTGAGTCGGAGCACGAACCGCCCGGAGGGATCGGAAGCAAGACAGGGCAGTGACATAAGGGTGTGGTGACAGAAATGTGTAAATATAGTTGAGTCATTCGAAAATCCTAGCTAGGAGAGGGCTTTTTATGCAGCCACAGATGACCACAAAGCTCTCCGGCACTAATCGGGTTAATATTTCAGTAGTCCTAGTGGAAAGCATTCCAGGAGCAGAGCAGAAATCAGGGACTCCAGCTGTGCCGGGATCTCCACCCTGCAAAGCCCTTCCACATTGCAGACAATCTGCCTTTTGTTCCTTGACTCTCTTTCACATACCTGCTTCCCCTCTCCATTCCGGCTTTTTCACTCTTGTCAGTTTGTCTGTCCCCTCTTTCTAAGCATCTCCCTGTTGGGCAGTCACATGTTCAGGCTTAGATGCCTTTAATCCCACCCTCACTGCCTGAGAGGGAGGAGAAAAATTTGCAGGAGAGAAGTGAGCAACAAGCAGAGTGGCAAGACAGCAGAAAACAGAGCTGCACGGATTTCCTCTGCTAGGAGCACCGAGTTTGGGTGGTGCACAGCCCATGCCGCTGGAGAGCAGGGAAAAGGAAAGCAAGGGACATGCTGGATTTACGGAGAGCCCGCGGCTCCTGCACGCTCCAGGGTGTCTCCTGACTCGCAAGGCTGCTGAACAGAGAAGGGTAATTTTCTTCACGCTGCATTTTCCGTCCCATGTTGCTGCCTTTATGGCTCGGGCTGTGGTAGTGGGTCTGGCTTTGCTTTTCCAGCGGGGACTCGGRATACAGGGAACGCTGCTCACCTGGCGGGGCCCCAGGCACCCCGCAGCAGAGGCGCCCCATGGGCAGAGCGGGAGGTGCTTTTGCTCCGGGAGCCACTTCCAGCTTTTGCAGGGCCGGGTGAGGAGAGGCACAAAGTTGTCGGCCTCCCTAGCAGCCGAGATGGGCACATTCTCCAGGAACCGGCTGCCATGGGCCCCAGTCACTGGGGCGCTTGAGAGGCAGAAAGCAGAAAGCCCCGTGGGAACCAGCTCAGTGTTTCGTGCTTGCCCTGGGGACGTGACCCAAGGTGGTGACTAGCAGAAGAGGGGGTGGTCAGAGATTGGCGAGACCTGCAGAAACCTTCCCTTAAGGGAAGAAAAAAAAAAAAAAGAATTTAAGGAAACAAGGGAAAAATAGCCAGCTTCCTCCCTACGGCTTGGTGTTGTCCCAGTGAATCCTTAAACCTCAGACAAAAGCAGCATCGCCAGAATTTCTGTTTGAAAACCTGGGCAGGAGGCTCAGGGCCGCGCACACGGAAATGCTGCTTGCGCCTCTGCGGTCTTGCGAGGGGAGAAAGCAGAGAGGGGGATCAGCTTTGCTTATCTAACACCCCCTCCTCTTCGACCATCATCACTAAGGTAACTGCTATTAATCCTAGTGCTTTAAGGGTCACCTTGTGCTACCTGGCAGCTCTCCCGAAAGCAAAGAAGAGCACCTAAGAAATCTAGGGTCTGAAGTCAGTGACATTTAAAGTCATAGGTTGTGGAGGAAATCCGCAGCTGAGCTGATGGTGCAGCAAGACATGAAATATATAAAATATACCAATAGTGAACCTACACGTTCACATGCTTGCTCTTTCTTATGTGGTCGACAAAGAAACCACCGAAAGAACAATTTTAATGTACAACCAATGGGCTGTCACAAAGACATGCCAGTTCAGCWGCCTTTTCTAGCATAAGAAACCACAAAAAGATTACCTTGCACATGTGAAATCTGCTGCTTTCTTGTCTGGCCAAAAAGAGCTATGAAGCTGTATGAATTATATAACCTACTATTTTTCAGCTACTGTATTTATCTCATTTTCTTTGCTTGGGGCTCAAGCAAATTACCAATACACCTCAGAACCAGGACATTCCATTTACCATGCATTTCTACCCAGGATATGTTATCTGTTTCAACATGGGAGAGGGAAGACTGAGTCCTTCAAAGTCAAGTAAATACGGAAAAAGAGGTTGTAGTAATTTAATGTTTGCAGACTGTGCCTCTGAAAAGAAACATGCTGCTTATCAGTATGACCAAACATTTTGCCTTTGCACACTACTGGACTCGGAATATTCTTGATGGTACTTGCTGCCGTTTTATATTTTGTTGTTACAGTGACCTATTCCAACTGGAAACTTACAGCTTTGTTACCAAGTGCCTTTACTCACAAGAAGATGATATTACATTTCTCTTTTACCTTTTTTAACTCATGACTTTATAGTCATAAATGGACAAAAAGCTGCAACGTTTCCTGAGTTGAGCAGCAATCAGCACATCTGCTTTCTTTTCCTCTTCSCCATTTCATATATCTGCATCCTTGTCCTTTCCAAATCCCGACTGCTCAGACAACTAATCTAATCTACACGCTCCCATCTCAGAGATTGTGAAATGACTGGTTTATTAGCAAGCCCCACAGGCACATCTGTATATAGAAATTTAATAAAAAAAGCTATGGCAGAAGGGGCTATTCTGGAATAGCTGTAATGGGATAACTCATTCACATCTGTTCTGGAATAGCTCCTTCTGGACAGACTTTTCTGTGTTTAAGATTTTTTTTTTTTCCTGCTCTGTTCTATAACTTGTTATTTAACTTGTTAATTAAAATAATTCATTAATGCCAATAAAYTGAATACCACATTCAGTTTCTTTTTCAATAACTATTCTAGGTCATTTACCCACGTGGATTACTAAACTACAAGATGCCAGCTGTTTATGACAGACAAAAACAGTCTGATTTGCTGCATACCTGGGAAAAACAAATTTGTTCCTACATTTTATATTCTTATGCTGAGACCCACTGAGGCAAAACAATCTCTTGTTAAGTATATTTATGTACAGGATCTTACATAAGACCTTGGCCTTCTTTTAGGAAAGGACTGTAACACAAAGAGTTAAATACAAGTTATCTATAGCACCTCTGTAGCTAAGGAGTGAAAGCACATTCAGCTCTGAGATACCAGGGACAGAAAAAGGTATTAGTTGATGCCGACTGCTTTGTCTAAAATGGATTTTCTTTTTTTAACAAAAATGTGCATGCAAGTTTTATAACAAAGTAGAAGCAGGCTCAAACTAAAAGCCTCTTTTTACTTCTTGGACAGCTTTAAGCAGATCTCTATGAAAATATGCAGCAGTTTTTATATAGATCATTACCCAGCGCTATAACAGCATGTCATTTTTGTTTCCTCTGGCAGAGAAGAGAATGTAAATTTAGACGGATGCAGATTGCATAATTTATTTCAAAGCTGTATAAACCTTTGGTGTCATCTTGCAAAACTCCTCCCAGAGCTCCTTGTCCTAAGTCTCTGTATGGTCCTATTTTGCAGGACTCTTCTCCAGGGTTCTTCTGCTCCCCCTAGATCTTAGTCTTAATCAGCCTCAGTACTACTTTTCTATGATGTCTGTGCATACATAGAGAGGCGGCTAGGTGTCTGCAGTGAGCTTTGGTCACTTGGCTATGGCAGTACAAAGTTAACCCACTTGAGAAGCAGGAGAGAATTTGAGGAAATAATGTAATTAATATATACTCCATTTCATAGTCTGTTTCGTTGGTGGCTTTGTTCTTTTAATTTAGGGCAAATGGGAAAACTGTCTTCCAGCTGCCATATCATTGTACTTCGCCGCTTAGTGCAGCAGCTTCCAAGCTGTGGTCCCTGTATTTCTAGAAATTTATTAATAACTTGTAAAAATTGCTAATAACTCTTTGGCTTTGCCCATCACAGTCAAATGGGAAAAGCAAACCAGCTTATCAGCAAGTTCACATTCAAGATGCAAATCTTCTGTTTCGGGGGTTTGGTAATTGAAATTGGTTAAGAAACACTGCCTATATAACTGCCTATTACGCTCTTCCCCGCCCCCCATAGAATTTAAATTACATGTCCTTGGACAGGAAAAGACATATATCTTTCTTAACAGGCTTTGTGAAATAGTGAATCAAAATAGAGTGCACATGCCACTGACTTCCGCCTCTCATGGCCATGAGAGCCCCCTACACTTTCCTTACTCAAGTTACCACTAACCTAAGTATTAGGCTATGGCAATGTTATGCCTTTGGTTTAAAAATATCAACATGAGCAAGAACAAATAAGGCTCTTGGGGAGATCTGAGCAATCCACTGCATCACCAGCATTGCTTGTCTTTGCCTTAGCAGGGACTATTTTAAATGAAAGTTTAAAGGAAACAATCAGTTCATTTTATATTATTGTGTGACAAATAGCAAAGGCAAAAAAATGCATTTAATAACTTCTCTTGAAAATGTCTACTTCACTCTAAATTTAGCTGTATCCATGACTAACCTATATGGATCCTTGCCAGTTGTTAGCCCTAGCATTATCTGAGTTTCTTTACAGAGCTGCTTCAAGTACTGCTTGAAGTTGATACAGGAAATACGTTTGATGCCTCTTAGTAATGCACCTTGGAAATGAACTGCTGAGTTGTTACCATTTAGTATTCTGCTGAATGCTTTTAGGAGCAGAGCTCTTGTCAGGATGGTATGCATTTCTAAATGCATGGTATGTCCTATCTAAATGTAATGGCTCTTTGCATGCTTGACTTCTACTGCACAACACAGTTTTCAGTTAGAAGCTATTCATTGCAAAAACATTATCTGACACCTCACYGACTCAAAGCTGTCCAGAAAGCAGAACAGGAATTGCCATATCCCAAATGAGAAAAGATGTCCATCTGGTCCAGGAATATGGATCAGCTTTTGGTAGGGAACATACTTTTCTGAAGATGAAGGCATCCAAATAGAACAATGAACTGAGAGCAGGCTTATATATAACTGTAGAAGATTTATAATGCTATTTAAGACTTTGTCAAGCACCTCTCAGCAGCTTCATTTGATTCAAACAGGATTGTTTGCTTTTAAACTCCCTTTGTATTTCAGTTAAATTTAATTGGTGCACTAACAATATCACCCTCAAGACAAAGGTCTCGTTTCTATTCAAAGAAGTTAATCATTAGATGTACTTGGTCCTGGGCTTGCAGCCTGTCTGTATAGTGCTAGGTTGGGGGCTAGTGATGCTTCACACAGGGGTTTCTATTTTCTATTTTCCTGCCACTGCAGGATCAACACGTAAGTTAAAACTGCCACTCAGTGTAAGGTGAGTTACTACTCTTAGTAGTAACTATCAGCGTAGGGATAGTTACTACTATCGCTACGGCTGAGCTAGGGACAGGTAGCTACCAGATTGAACAGTCGGCCTATCTGTGGCACTTGGTGAGAGCCTTTTGTTTTGTTCATGTTAGGAATGGCTTCTCACATTCACACTGAAGTTTAGTTAGTCAAAGAGGAATCACTTAATATTGTAATCATAAAGGCACAGATAAGGCAGTGGAAGAGGGAGAAGACCTCTACCAACATACAGTGTCTGTCTAGAAATCTCTTTGTATTTCACAGTTTTGAAATCTGTAGGAAGCTTTGCTCCAGGAACACCTGCCCTCAGGAGTCCCTCTGCAGAAGTGTTCTGAAAAGCAAAAAAATCAGCTTCTCCTTTAAAGCACCAGCGCAGGAGACAGTGTTTTGCATACTAAAGAGGAAGTTATACTTTTTTTCTGTCCTCATTTAGTTACACAGAGAACTGTTTCCTAAACAGCCCAGTAATTAAGAAAAGATTTGGATGCAAAGCCGCTTTTCCCAAACGGATGCCAAATTAAGTGACTAAATGTCTAAATATGGAAACATGCTGAATACACAACTTTATGTTAATTACAATTTCCAAAAAACGAATTAAGTAATTGCTGACATACTTCCACAAAGAGCATGTAAAAAATGGCTTTTACTGGAAGTAATACACTATTGCAAAGTGACTATTCATGACTTATAAAAATTTTTAACCCACTATAAAATGCAATTTAGATTCTTATTTTTTTCCTCAGACCTATTTTTCAGTTACCAATATTACCTACATTTATAAGGAAAATAAATGGAACATCTAAAAATAGAGAAAAGAGAAAGCCAGTACTAACAGTTTCTGAAAATATAGGTAAAATCAGAACCACCCTGATGAGTAGAAAACAGTTAGAACTCTTGGATTTGAGTTCTGCGTAGGGGATGAAGCTTCACTTCTGTCGACTGAAAATAAGTTTGACCTACATTCAGAATTCCCTAGTTCCTACAATTATAGTCCAAAAAAAAAAAAAAAAAAAGGAAACCAGTGTTTCCTTCTTTTCTACATCCTGGAGCTTGTTTTGGCACAAACTAGAGTATTTCTTGCATTTTCATGTGCTTTTGGCAGCTGTTAGGCTCTGTGGTTATTCTGCTACGAAAGGCAACGGACTCTTCCCCATGGGGCTTCAGACTGATAACGAATAGGAGACCCAGCACGGCTGCTCACAGCCTCGTAGAAGCACCGGTCTGACGGTTGCTCCGCTTTAACTATTCTTAGTTGCAGGATCAGACCACAATCTGGTTGGATTGGCTCATCAGTTACAGAACTCACAAGCCAAAGCCAGGCCTTGGCAGGTGTCCTCTCCATTCTCTCCCCATTTGTCCTCCTTGCTGTCTTAGCTTCCTTGCTTTCAGCTTGCAACCTCTCAGCCTCCTTGTGCCATGAAGCAGGACGTCGGCAGGGGGAGACCCAGCACAGCTTTCCAAGCAGAAAAATCCAGAGCAGAACTGGTCCCTCGGCACAGGGGTCCCCCACACAGGGATCAGGGATCCAGGCAGCACGATTTCATGGTGCTGTTGGGCCTCTCCCTTGCATAGCAAGAGAGCAACACCTTAGGCAAGGATCACTGGGGTTCATCACATGAGGTGCTGCATAGAAAATACAACATCTGTTTCTTTCTCCCATTTCAGCATGAGACAGTATAAGGGCTCTTGCCTGAATGGGTATCTCTAGTGGTTGAACATAYAACCTCAAAGCTGCAGAGCTCAATGCAGGCTCATACTTCATCTACCTCAGATTTCCAGCAGAGTTGGCAGGTAGAAAGTAATTGTTACCTGAAGAATAAACCTTCTTTTAGCTCATCACCTCTATATATTTTCCCTCTGTAGTCCTCATTTTCAAGTCTGGAGTCTGATTCTGCAAACTGTCAACACGTTGACAGTGCAACTCACACCAAAAGGAAACTCAGAGGCATAACCAGTGTGGGTGTGACTATGGAGCTACAGAATGATATTCTGCATTTGTTTGTTTTGTTAATGTTTTTGCTTTGTTAGCAGAACATGAGAAAAGGGAAATCCCTGGATTTTGAGTAAGTGCGGTTACATATAAAGTCTTCATTTTTGATAGATATCAGGTCTTCATATGCTGAATCGTAATGGCTTGGGTTCTGGTGGCTGAAAAGCATCTATCAGGGCCTTTATAAAGTGCATTGATGGAATACAGTGCTGTGTTAGTGAAACAACATCTTATTATCAGCATAGAAGGAGTTATTTGCAAAGATACTGCACATTCTCATACATCAATGTGAAAATTTCATGCTATTACTACTTAACTACACAACAGATTGTGTGAGTTTTGTGCTTTCATGAATCATGGGTTTGCATAACACTGATCCTATAATCTGTCCAAGAAGCATTTGAGATTTCACAACATGTTAGAAGGGCCTGGCCTCTAGCAAAGATTTCGAGTACCTCTGCTGTATTTTTCATTAATTCTAGCATATGAGACTGTCAGATTGCCGTATGTCAATGGGAGACAGTTCCCCCCAACACTAAAATCAGCAACTCAAATGTAGCAATGTGCCGCTGTGGCCAAGGAGGCCTGTGGTATCGCGGGGTGCATTAGGCAGAACAGTGCCAGTGTCGACCAGCAGGTGGAGGGAGCTGATCCTGCCCTCTGCCCAGCCCTGCTGAGGCCAAGTCTGGAGAGCTGGAAACAGGGCAGGGCTCCCCAGTACGAGAGGGACATGGAGCTACTGGAGACTCCAGCGTAGGGCTGTGAAGATGATGAGGAGCCTGCGGCATCTTTCTTGTGAGGRTAAACTGATAGAGCTGAACCCATTCAGACTGGAAAAGGCTGAAGGGGACCTTATCAGTGTCTATCTTAAAGAAGATGTCAAGAAGATGGAGTCAGGCTATTTTCAGTGGTGCCCAGCAACAGGATAACAGGCAGCAGACACAAATTGAAGCACTGGAAGTTTCATCTGAGAAAAAGCTTCTTGACTGTGAGGGTGCCCGAGCCCTGGCACAGGCTGCCCAGGGAGGCTGTGGAGTCTCATTCTCTGGAGATCTTCCCAACCCGCCTGGATGCCACCCTGTGCCCCGTGCTCTGGGTGTCCCTGCTGGGGCAGGGGGKTGGACTGGATGAYCTYGAGAGGTCCCTTYCAACCTTAACCTCTCTGTGATTGTGTGAGAGAACACAGAAAAGGACAGTCAAACAGCGGATTAAAAGGGAAACTAATGACATTTAGAGAAATCATATAAACAGCCTAATTGTCTTAATTTTTTGGAAAGCTATTAATAGGCAGGCTTTTAGAGGCTGAGTTAGTAGCAGCCTAGAGAAAATCACTGTCCCTGGTAGTGTTCAGAAAATGTGTAGATGAGGCACACAGGGACATGATTTAACAGGCATAGTATTGAAGGGCTGATAGTTGGACTAGTTAAACTTGAAGATCTTTTTCCAACCATAAGGATTCTAAGATTCTGTGACAGAAAAGCCAAATTTGACAATTTCTAATCTGGAGGAGGAGGAGTGCTTACTTAGAGTGTATCTAATAAATGTATGTATAATGAATATTATAAATTTCAGTTTCAAATTAAAAGCACATACTTTTAACTTACAAGTAAACGGCTTATAGCAAGTTGTTCATCCTGCTGCTGAGGATGCAGAGGAGGTAGGAGAGGAGGACATATCTGGGAGATAYGTCTCATATCTGGGAGATATGTCCTCTCTAGAGAGGAGGAGATATCTGGGAGATACATACTGCACCTAGCAAATATGTGCCCTTTGTGAGGTAAACTGGTACCTTTGTTATCTTGCTTCATGCTCCAGGAAGCACCGCATAAACACATGTTTAGTTTTGCAAAGGTGAGTGACAGAAAACAAATGTGCCACTTCACTAAGGCAAAAAATTGTCTCCCAAATATAAGCTAATTAAGACTGTGTGACTGGTTTTGGTTCTTGGTTGTGACCAAGTCTTACTGTATGATTGTGACTGAATGGCAATGTCCCTTCTTTTTTCAGCAAAGGATTGCTTTATCCACACCTCCTGCACCCACGATATCTGTTAATTGCAAGTTGTGAGAACAGTAACAAGCACAGAAATGTGGTCAGATCTAGGTCAGATCAGATCTCCTGTATGCTGAAAAAAACTTTTKGGGCACTTTGCAGGAAATATTTACTCTAGTAAACTGCATCTCATGACACKGTGATGTCCTCCAAACAAGGAGGACCTTCATTGAGGAACTTTTTCTTTGGCTTACTCAGTGACGAGCCCTCAACTTTTCGTCATCTCAAATCACATTCTCCCTGCTCTGTCAGTGCCTATTTCACTAACCATCTTTTCTCTTCCTCTCCAGTTTTGATGAAAGAGTGTGAGTTTGGTACCCATTGCACCAATGACATCTTGCCATCCAAAGCAGATGCAGAAGAATTGATGGGGGCATGAATAGAGCAGGAGTGCCTTCCTTCACCAGGAGCCATGTTGCACCAAGGCTGGCAGCTCTATGGGAAGTGGTGCCGCTGGTCCAGCCCTTTCATGCACCTCCTCAYGCTGACCGTGGTGACATTCGGTGTGCTGGCTCCTTTGATGTGTCACCGGCTCCTCCACTCCTATTTCTACCTGCGGCACTGGCACCTGACCCCCATGAGCCAGGAGTTCCTGGAGCAGAACCGACAGGAGGGTCAGGCTGCTCTCCGTTACTTTGAGGAGCTGCAGGTACTGAACACTACTGAGGCATCCAGCGGTGAGGCCTTCCGGCCCTTCCTGCTTGTCACCATTATTACTGTGCAGCGGCGGAGTGATTTCCACTACGTCCTGCAAGTAGCCTCCCGCTTCCACCACCTCCTCCGGCGGTGTGGCACACGCTGCCAAAGCCACCGCATCCTCCTCTGCAATGTGGAACCAGACCCTCACAGCCACCAGGATGTGAGGCTGCTTAGCAGTTTTTTTCCCATGGTTAGTCGTGACCAGATCAAGGAGGACCCTAACCCTAGAATGAACCAGTTTGAGAAGGAGAAGCAGGACTATGTCTTCTGCCTTGAGCAGTCACTGTCAGTCTATAACCCAGAGTACATCCTGATAGTGGAAGATGACGCTGTGCCAGAGGAGGAGATATTCCCTGTCCTTCAGCACCTCTTGCTGGCCCGTTTTTCCAAGCCATACCTCAGAGATGCRCTCTACTTCAAGCTTTACCACCCCGAGAGACTTCAACGCTATTTCAACCCCGAACCCATGAGAATTCTGGAGTGGCTAGGTTTGGGAATGTTCCTGGGGCCAGTACTGAACTGTGTGTACTCCTGGGCAGCCGGCCGCCCAAGCCTTAGCTGGCCCATTGTCTTGTTCTTTGCGTTGTACAGCATGGTGCTCTCAGAGCTGGTGGGACGCCACTACATGCTGGAGCTGCGCCGCCTGGCTCCCACGCTCTACAATGTTGTGCCTGTCACTGAATGCTGCACGCCTGCCATGCTCTTCCCCGCTCCTTCTGCCCGCCGTGCCTTAAGCTACCTGAAGGGGCTGCACTGCCGCCAGGGTTTTGCTAAGGATATAGCCCTCTACTCGCTGCTACGAACTAAGGGGGAGAACGCCTACGCGGTGGAACCCAACCTRGTGCGGCACGTAGGCTTGTATTCCAGCCTGCGGTTAAATGACAACCCCAAGCTGTTGTGATCTGCCCGTGCCCGTCGAGACACAAAGACAGGAGAGCTTTGCCACGTCACAGAGACCCATTCTGAAAATTCAAATACTGTGCCTCTCACACACAATGTGCTATGCCTCCAAGTGAATTTCTCCTAAAAAAAAAAAAGTTTTGTTAAGAAATAAACTTGCATACATCAAGGCCCTTATTATGCCTTGAACTAATCACTRCATGGTGTGTGGGAGGGAAGTGGAGGCTTTCAGCTGAGGGTTTGGATTATCCACTCTCCTTAATCATTCTAAGAAAAAAGCTCCTACAAATATATTCAGAGGTGCAGGCCTACCTTCCTTAGCAGTAGTTAAAGAAAGCCTCACCTTACGGCAACYGAAATGCTGAACAAAGTGAATGATTCTAATTTAAGCCAGTGAGGATAGTCCCCTATTTTTCTGTCCTTGACAAGGTGTGATCTGTGACCTCTCTTCATTTCAAAGGGATATTTTTGAGCAGACCTTTTAAAAGCAGCTTGTATATAATGAGAATTCTCCCTCAAGTTTCACGTAGATCCTCCAAATTTTACTGATCTTCTTTGTTRCTGCCTACCTCTACAGATCCTACCTGTATTTCCACCGTTCTGCCTCCTCTGTTTTGGAACACAGACAGGCTCCTAAAACAAAGCCTCTGCTGTTTCAATAAGGCACACCTCTGAAGATAGGAATGGCAACATTAACAGCCTTTACTGTTACACAGCCAGACCATAAATCTGTGGTTTTATTTCTAGATATGGTAAAAAACTTGGGGAAATAAAAATGGTGGTATCATCACTGTTACTCTTAGCGGATCCAGATCCTTAAAAACAGGCCTTACCAGTTGCTAACTGAACTACAATTTTTCCGTCAGCACAGAAGGAAAGGAAAAAATCATTCCAGTGCTGCCATTTTTCAGGATCCTTCTTTGGTTCTGAAGTCATAATTCACAGCTCTAGCTAGTAGTTCACCTGCTGCTCCTAGCAGCAAAGATAATGACCATGAAAAACAGAGCTATCTGTGCTTAAAAAAACATGAGCAACAATAGCTCAGCATATAGGGGATCACTTCTGTATGGACCTTCTGTATGTACTTAGTGTGTCTGGTTGTTTGGCATCTGAGATACAGTTTTATAGCATAGCTGTATGCACAGCTAAATACAAAGGCATTTATTTTATTTGGAGAATAGGTCATAGGTATCTCTTAGAGATAACACTATAAACACCAATAYGATTATATCTAATGAAAAGTCCCCCTTGCCTTCAATGGGCTTTGAATCAAATTCACTTATAGAAATATAAAAATATATAAATGGGTTTGGAGCATGGAGTGGTGCATGCCCAGGCAAGTGAGCTTCACCCTCTCACTGGCTCAGCTAGGATAGCATTCGATATCGTCTTCGTAATTTAGATGTGGGAAAACTGACTTGCTTGGGGCATTCTTTATCTCTCAAAGGGCAAAACAAAGGAAATTCACCATTTATCCTTAGCTGCTGAAAATCTCAAAGATACCACAGACTGGTAATGCAGAAACACCAGCAGCAGGTGGSCAAACCTGTTCTCAGTCTGTACTGTAGCAGGCTACAACAACAGGATTGGATGTAAGTGTATATTTATTCCAATAAGTGCCTGTGCATGTGAGGAAATACAACTGGTTTATCCTTCTTTAATTGCTGAATGTTTCAGTGCGGTGTGTTTTCACTTCTGCATTTTTATTAATCTTTGTACTGTATAAAACCAGAACATCCTGTTGTTTTCATGAGAGTCTGTTCATTATCATTTCTGCAAAGAAAATCTCACAAAATGTGCAATAAACCTCTCACTTTTTCAGAAAGAAATGAAAAAAGAAACTTTAGGAAAAAAGTAACCAAATGACAATATAGAGTGAATAAATATTTTGACGTGGGAAATAATTTATCAATGTCTCCATGTTATATTTGTTTTTTGAACTGTAGTACCTAAATTGTTATTGCAGAGGTCAAACAATATTTTGCTAAGCATAGATCAGCTTTAATACCTGAAAGTTAAGAATATGATTTTCAGGCATGTATCCTAAACTAGAAAACAATTTTCAGAGTGAAAGGATAGCTGGGGAATCATTTCCAAACAATACCYAGAAAGGCTAAAATTTTAACCTCTTAGTGTATATATTTGTCCTGCTTGGTAGCAGCAGGTTAATAAATTCTTTATGTCCTTCTGGAATTAATAGCCTAATTGTCCGGTTTATCTTTGTTGTAACAGAGATGGCCGCTCTGCTGCCGCAGCATGCCGGTCACTACACTGAGTTTTCAAGCACGTTACTTACGCAGTGCCTACCCCGTGACATCTCAGGCATTCAGCATCAAGCGTCACATTAACAGGATGTGGTTCTTTCCTTCTTCTGCATCTGGACTTTGAAAATGTTTAGTTCTATTTCTATCTTATGAAATACTTGCAACAGAAATTACAGGCCAGAGAAGTGCCCTTTGCCCATTGACCTGAAACAGGGAAGGTAGTATTTAGCTCCATGGTTTAGGCTAATTATGTAGCTTCAGACAACCAAGTCCTACCTTTCTGCTGTGCCAGGGGGGCAGAGCTGTGCTGCTGTATCTCAGGCTACAAGGTATTAATTCTTTCATACGTGGTTTTAAGAGACTGTTTATTAAAATAAATTGTCATTTATTTTTAAAGAAAAGACATGTATTTTTCTCAGATGTTCATTCATTTCCAAGGACTGTTAAACTATTTATCAGTATAACAATTAAAGCTTACACAAAATAACTTTTTCCCCGTGGGTTGAGGAGCAGAAGTCAGGGCATTACCATCCAAGGCAATTTTGGGGAAGTACCTATATTAAACAAAAACTGACTTTGTTTCCAAGGTATRTTGAACATAATTTTGATTTCTGGCAGAACACAAAGCACAACTTGGTCACTCTCTATCTGATTAGAAGCCAAAGACAATTTTAAAATTATARTAGGTATCAGTGTCTCAGTGAGAAGGCACCACATCTGAAGACAGAAAGAAAAATACTTCCTCTTGATTGTGAGGAGTTGAACTGGCTGTTGAATGGTTGAACTGGCTGTTCCAGCAGCAACACTGATGACAGAGGTTGGCACAGTTCTATTTAAAGCCTAGAATTTTTGTAAAAGAAATTGATAAGCACACTTTCTACAAAAGAAACTTGTTTCCTCTTAAAAAACTACTGTTTCTATTTGCATTCTATGTGCTACTGTTGGTTTCCTTATTGGCAGATCCATCACTTTCATTATTGCAATTGAGTGAAGAAAAATATTTCTCTTTTTGGTGGCTTCATGCATCTGCATGGACAATATCATCATTCTTAAGAATCCTAGAATAACTCAGATTAAAAAAGCACTTCTGGAGGCCTCTTGTCCGAACATCCACACAGAGCAGGCCTCGTTAGATCAGGTTGTTCCTGGCCATCTCCATCAGGTACTAAGATACTTTAATGGRGACCAGCAATTAATTCAATCTTTAACTGCTGGAATTTATATTTAGTATAATTTTGCATAGAGTAGGGTACATTTTCCACTAGGTATGAAAGGGAATTTTCTGTGGAAGTCAACTGTGGCAACTAAACTGCTAGTAGCTTCTTTCCAGAAGTTAGACTTTATTTTTTTATTCCTTCATACCAACTTTACAGATGTCCTTTCCAAAATGGTCCAATGCCAGGGTCCAACATACAGTTCTTAATAATCTTCAGTATATCATATATATAAATAACACAAGCATGAGGAATTCCATGTTTCTTGGTAGGTATTCCATTTCTTCATGTTTGCATGTGTCTCTGTTGCTTGAATACCTTAGTTTCCATAAATTATTTTCTGTCCTGACAGAATTCTGTAGTTGATTCCTACACCTACAGGCAGACAGATCCATTTACAATATTGTTCTGTGTAAAAAGCTATGAATGACACATAATCAGTTAAAACCTTTGATGATTTTTAAGTAGTTCTGCAGATGAAAATAAGGTGTTTTTTTTTTTTTTTTTTGCACTGGCCAGGTATTCATTCTCCTGTGCCTACCTTCTCTTTGAAATCTGCCATGGCATTGCTGCTTTCCTCCACCTTTGCAGAAATCTCATCCACATAATGTTTTCAGCAAATGAGTCTACTTTGTTGTAGTTTATATGTTAAAAATCATATACCAAGATTAGTATGCAGTATGAAAGAATGTGTTTTTCTGAGAACTATGTACCATTTGGTAATATGGTACTAGTAATAATAAGCTGATTGGTTCCCATCCTAGGAGCCAGTCCTTTGCCTATTTGCTTTTCAAAAACTCAATGTGTTGACAGCACAGTCATGACTGCATTTATCTTTGTGTCCTGTACAACATGTGTGGAGTAAGACAGTTATTTTGTATTGCTCAAGAGATGTTGTCACTGACATCATGACTAAAAGTCTCATCCTGATTTGCTATCACCATTACTYAAATTATTATAGAGATTTGGGTTATGATAGCAGTAATGATAAGAGTCTGCTTGTACTTCATTGCACATCTTCACAACGTTTGCTGCAGCCCAGTTTTGAGTCAGAACAAGAGGAAAGCAAGCAAATCCTCCCTAAGCTGCAGTCCTCTCTTGCATGAGTCCCTTGAGGGCCAAAACCCTCCACCTCCTTCACAATGAGCGTCTGCAGGCACTGCTGAACACCGTGCAGCCAGATGCACAGATTTCTCTTAACAGGGTCAAAGGCCAGGCTCTCTGGATTGGGGGTGAGGAGCACAGGTGAACGGGGGAAAACAAGCCTCTTCAATAAACAATATCTCTGATTAGATAGGGATGAACAAGCTGGACTTTGAGATAGTTAAGCAAGACTGCAGAGTACAAAAAACAAGAAACATCCAGCACAACCTGGGTAGGTGGAAAGTAGGTGGACTCCACTCGGCTCGAGCATGCTCTGATTATACTTTAACCCCATCACGCAGGCAGCACTCTCTCGGAGTTCAGAGAGGCACTTGTTTTTCATGTGAATGCACATTATGCTCAAACATTTTCCAGCTATCAGTGTTTCTTCCATTCAATTTCAAAGCATTTTAGAAGTCTGACTACAAAGTGTTGATAAGATTAATACTACCTCATTTACTGAACTGCAGAGGCAAGTTTTAACCCTATTTTACTTCTCATGAGGTGACCAACCTTATAATCTTTGAAATTATTCAGACGTTTCTTTCTTCTCCTTTGCTTCCTCTCACAGGTCTGCCACAGTTTGTCTTTCTTATCTTCTGACATTTACTGATTTTTTCATTTAAAATACTAATTAATATGAAAATTTAAAAGCCAAAATCAGTATCAGTATGATTCTAGAAACATTTGCAAAACAAAATCTCCAACCTGAAGGAACTTAAGGATTCTAAATTTTTATCTAATACCTGTAAATGAGGCTTTCCATTGATTTTGAAGTACTTCATGAGGCAACAGATTTCACTCAAAACTTTTAACACAGAACTGGCAGATCTTTTGCCAGTAAGGTTGGATATAATAAAGACAACTATCAATTTAACTTCTGCTATGAAAATCCTTTATTTTTAAGATGGTATATATTCTTTTCTAACTCAAGAAACTAGAAATTAAGACCTAAATAATAACCCACGTCACCCATAAGGTAATTTTTGTGGTCTTTAGACTTTTAAAATACACTGAATACTTCTGTCAACTTTTGCGTGGTAATTTCAGATGAAAAATCAACATTAAGATACAACAGAGCAAAAACCTCCAGGCTGTTCAAATACGAACACCACTTACATTCTGCCACATTGGTGACACAGAAAAGAGTAAGACATTTAGCTTTATCCTTCCATTTTGTAGCTGATGATAACCATTTTTCTCTTCCTGTTCCTAGGCTAAAAAAGGCAAAATAACAATGAACATTCACAGTCTCTTCCTATTTATCAGGTTTTTCAGTGATTATTCAGAAATTCAAGTGGACTTTGAAGATTTTTATATGAGTGTTTATATCAGTTACTTCATTAACAGATAGAAAAGCTATTATAACCCATTGATGAAAACTTAAACACCCTACTTAGAATCCTTAAGTATGTATGCTTTTTACACTTTGAAAAATGCTTAAGAATGTTTCCTGTTTTAAAAGATTTTTCACTACAAAAACAAATTAGGAATCACCACAACAGTGTCAATTTCTGAGTAAAACTGCTGCCACCTGTAATAATAATTGAATGCACTTGTTCATTTGCTCGGATGCCCTCCCTTTCCATCCTCCCTGGCCTTTCCCTAAGTCTGAGATCTCTCTGGTACCTTCCCCTCTCAGTGCCAGAGGGAGATGATGATCCCCAGGAAAGAACTTTCTCAAGAACAGAACTCTTCAAGAAAAGCCTTCCTACATGGTCAGCTCTACAAAACCAGGAGGCTTCTCCAGCTACCTTGCAGGACAGGCCAAACCCCACAAACCACTAACAAACTGGGAACACAACCAGTCTCAGAGAAGCCATCGGTTAATACTTGAAAATGACATCTGTTTCATTGCACTGGCCTTGCCACTTTGTCACATTGCTACTGTCTGTACCCTCTTATCCATCTCTCTTTGCACCTCATTTCCTGTTCTCTGATAGCCCCCAAATGTACATCCTGAACTGCATCCTTGCCTCTCTGATTCCACGTTCAGTATTCCTCAAAATCCATGTCCACCAGATGTCTCACAGCGTTGTGCTTCATGCATTGAAGTCATGCTGTCTATAGCTACAAATTCTCAAAATCTCCTTCAAAATAATGTCCTCATATAGTCACCTCTGACAAGGCTCTTCAAACCTGCAGACAGACATCTTGCTACCTTCAGTACCATCTGTTACTCTGAGGAAGGCTTAAATGAAAAAGAAACAAATTCAAAATTATTTTTTTCATTGGAAACCTGAGGGAGCCAGCAATACTGTGAGCTTGAACAGTAATTCAGTGAAACAGAATACACTGATTTTGGTGTAGAACAATTAGTGTAGGTAATAGTTTTTATTATGCTGTAGGTTAATTGCTGGGTTGGATGCAAATATCCTGCATTCTCCTTACCATACAAGCTTATTCCCCTTACCTTACCTTGTAAGAACATCTATTTTCTTAACCTAAATTTCAAATGAGTTAAATATCCTCTTATATAGTTTCAATCATGAATGATTTTTTTTTCCCAGTGTCTTTTTAGAGCTATTCCAGCATGGAGACCACTACTGATTTATAAACAGCATGATCTGAATCATGGTTCTAAATATTAATAGTACTGAATCTGATAGTGACATTATCTAGAGTGACTGCTCATTTCACAATTTTGCCATAAAAGCTTCAACTTTCCAAATTAAGTGAAAAAAATTGGCCGCCATGTTTGTTTGCTTCTCATCTCCATACTGCTCTGAATATCTGCTGGAATCTGTAGATCTAGAAGTGCTGGGTTTTAGCTGAGAAGGAGTGGAAAGGCACACACTAGCTCCTACACAAGTTAAAAAAAAAAAAAGAAAAGCTCTCAAAACGTAAGAGCGTAGGGGCGTAGGGTAGACTATAAGACTATCTAAAACATTTTCAAAATATAAGAAAGCCGTCCTTTTGAAAATATCACTTTTTTTTTTTTTCAGGAAATCTGCCGCCAGCTTTGCCATTCTAATAAGCACATTCATACCTCATCACAAATGAAACTGGGGGAAAAAAAAAAAAGAAAACAAAAAAGAATCTCAAATACTTTCTTACCTGTCACAGACCAAAGCAGGAATGACAAAAAGATTTTCTCTGTGGCACTGAAGTATGCAATAAGTATGACACCTGCGTCACGCTAAAAGGGTATTAGATAATATAAATATTAAAAATATTTTTAATCCATAGCAGAAGCTTTTTTGAATTAATTTTAACAAGATATTGAGTCATCTTCCTGCTAGGGTAGGACACATGGTATATAAAGCAAACACCATAACCCACTGAAGGCTTTCTATCGAAGTTACATACCACAGCATTCTTCAGCAAAAGATGGAACAGAAAGGAGATAGTTAAAAAGAACAAAACAAAAAATGCACAAGGTCTTCCATTAGATTCAATAGACTGAATCCACAGGTTTCATAGAGCTTTATTGATTGACAAAAAGTTCTCGGGCTGGCACTGTATTAACTGAGGTTTTCTACACTCATTGACCTTGCCACACACCTCCTGAACTGATAGGCTCAGAGAGGAAGTGCCTAATGAAGTAACAACTGCTCAGTGAAAGGCAAAATCACCTTTCTCAYTGAGTTCACATAAAGGTTAAAGGTGTCACTTCACGAGCCAAAAAATGGAGAAAATACGTCATTACYCAAGCAAACACTAGGCCTTTTGGGCAAAGCCATGCCAATGTCCAAGGTCACTGGCTGTGCTGTTAYAGGATATTTGCCTAACATAGACCYTATACTGCACTTCTCTCCAGTGACCTGGAATAATAAAGAAATGARAAAAATTATCTGTATCTATGTGGATTTCATGCATTGCTGCACTTGAYATAAACTAAATGTGGATATACCATTTATAGAGAATTAGTGCTTTTTCCCAGAAATGATTTATTAAGCAACTTAAAAGATTTCATGTCATTATAACTCAGGCAGAGGGTGTTTCGGTAGGATTTCAGTGGACAGYTTAGCTTTAACTTTTGCATCTCCATGTGGACATATTTCTTCTGATAACTCTCATTSCCAAATATGCCACACTGCACTGCTCTAAGGGAAATCTAGATTTTCTGCTTCRTTAACTCAAGTACTTTAACATGAGCTTTTACCTTTCTAAATATGAACTAGAGAAGGAAAACACATTTCTGGCTTAAATTACCAAGTGAATAAAATCAGTGAAATAGGTAGGAAGTGACTGAAAACAATAATAATTCATGCCAAGCAAGAATCCATTCCATTGTTTGTGCATTTTGTTTTCCAGTCTTCTTTCYTGTGTTGCGGCTCTGCACACTGTGGACTTTCATAAACATAAGCTTCCTAAATAACTAGCCCTAAACGCAAAGTCACCTCCAACTTGCCTGTAAACAATTCCTCTGGTTGCTCTTGTAATTGTTTTTGCTGTGTTTCTGAAAGAAGAGGAATACTGTCAAATCACAGAAATGATATGAAAAGCTTTTCAATTCCACTTAACCATAACCAGTGTTAWATGTGCACTGTGGGAGGGAGGGGAAAAGGAGAGGCAAAGGAACAGGGAGAGACAACAGATCCAATTGGCTCCGCATAGTTCTTTTCCAAGAGCCAATCAACGATCTCCAGCGATAACATCTCCCCAACCAGCCAAGAGAGGTGGGAGAATAAAGAAAAAAAAAAAGGACAAGATTTTTATAAAAGTTAGTGATTAGAAGTACTAGGTCTCTTCGCCTCCAACCACCTCCGCAGCAGCTTGTAGCACCAGAGGCATTGTATACAAACACGTAAGTATAAACTTTTTATTCCTGAATTGTAAAAGTTGTGTGTGCATTAGCAGCCGAGTGTTGATCTGAACTGCACATGCTTGGGAGGTTGTTTTTGTTTCCRTTGTTTTCCAGGAACAGCTTACAAGAAATAAGCATGCAGATGTTCTGCAGTGATCTTCCAGTGTGATTCATTTACTCTTTATACTGTCTTCCAACCTTAGTATAGTGACTCAGAACTCCTAGAGTAAGTGCATAGTTTGAGGATACTAATGCAATTACATACCTGAATTGTTTTGTTTTGCTTCAGTTTGCATGTTTTTATTTATGTTTTCAATTGTTCCTAACAAATATCTGTGCTGACAGAAATGCTATTATGTGTATTCCATATGCAGTTTCCTCTGAAGTATAAGTGCTGTTATGTTGATAATTTTCTTTGGCAGAGCGAAGCAAGGTAGGTTGGAATGGCAGAAACTAAGAAGGAAGAAATATTAGAAGTACTATTTTTTTTGGAACTAGCGTTAGGCTTTACCCTGGCAAAGTGTGAACAGCTAGCCACAGGGAACTGCCTGTTAATAAACACATTTCCTTACAGAGTCTGTGATTCTTTAACATGCTGTCAGTGATCCTTTATACTTGGCACATAAAGCTKAGGTTTCCCTGCTGACATTTCAAAGTCTTGAACTCTCAAGCAAATCTCACAACATTTTCTACTTTCTCTAAGAGCTCAGCTCCGAAGGTGAAGGAACTTCATACTAATTGCTGCACTTAAATAATCGAGTTTCTGGCTGCCTCTAGCCATCATGAGTACACAGGGGTGCTTCACAGCAACTGCAGAGAMCAGATGTAGAGACTATGTAGTTTCTTTTCATACTTTGGGAAGAGGAGGTATATTTGCTCAGAGCTATGAATATAGCTCTGAATATATGAAAGGCTCAGAGCTTGGAGATCAATGTGACAACCAGGTCAGGGAACAGCGATTCTCCCTTATTTCCATACACTTGAGATATAATGGCCAGGAAAGATCCCTAGACAGAGAGCAAGGATGGAAAATTGTCCTCCCTGTCCCTCATAAACAGGAGCAAAACCTACCAGGCAATTTACTATTACAAATGCCAAAGGTCAATGTGCATCTCCAAGGACCTATCATGATGAAATCAGATCATGCTGATATCTGCTTTTTGGGAGCTTTCACAAGAATTGCCATGTCAGTGAAAAACATATGTTGCTATTTCTAGGTTAATAAAAGTCTGAAGATTCCTTTTCTCCCCTTACATTGTGACTCACATTTTATCCCCTAGTACTGAAACATTTTGTATCTCTCATTCCCATCACCATCATAAACAGAGAAACAGCCTGATCTTCCCTCTCACATCCTTATCACCATACATACAAAAGGAACAGCTTTCATTGCTAAGCAAGTATTCCTAATGCAAGTACTCACAGTATAACTCGGCTTGAAAGTGACAATGTCACTTTCAAGTGACACCCATACACTGGGTGGAAGAGCCTGGATGTATCTCTTCAGTCACCTCCCTATAGAAACTAGAGGCTGCTGTTAGGTCTCCTGAAGCTGAACAAGCTTCCAGGTTGAACTAGTTCTGGTCTTACAGCCTCATCTTGCAAGCGCTTCAGCCCTCAACCTTCCCAGTGACCTCTGTTGAATTTGCTTTTCAGGGCCTTTCTTGTACTGATGTGGGAACAAAAACTGAACAGAGTACCAAGATGTGGTATAAGAAGTGATGAGCACAGAGGGATAATTCCTCCACTTGSACCCCCTGCTCTCACAGCCCGTTGCTGGCAGGTATAATGCTGGCCTGTGCAGAGCTGCTTCTGGTGYCACTGGCCCAGTCCATATTGCTGCTACAATGCTGCACTACTAGGAGCAAAGCTGGATGTTCATGCCAAATGCCTTGGAGGCACCTCTGGCCCCGTTCTCCTGTCTCTTCAGATCTTTCTGAATAGCAGACCTGCAGGGCAGTGTATCAGTTGATCCTGACAGTTTGGCTTCATCTGCAGGCATGATATAAATGTGCTCTATAAGCCTCTTTAGGTTTTAAATGAAGATATTAAAGAGGATAAGTCCCAGGCCTTGGGACCCTAGGATGGACCCTACAGTACTTCACTGCTCACTGGTACCCAGATAGATGACAAGCCACTTGTCCAACTAACCTTCTGATTACATCCTAAAATGTATATTGAATATTATCGGAAACTGTGTGAAAAGCCTTGCTAAAGTCAGAGTGAATTCCACATTACTCTGAATATGCTGGCCTCTTTCAGATTCTACAGAGGCAGGTGACTGTGCCTCAGTCTATAAAGATTCATCTTTTAAATCCAGATAGCAGATAATACATTCACTTTCTATTCATTAATATCATTTAAATATAAAAATATATCATAAAATTGCTCTCAGCAATATAATTATTAATAGTTAACATTGTCCTATAATAATGCTCTTAACAACAGAAGTATTCCCCACACACTGCGTCCTCTAGTAGGGGTGGGCTTGTTCAGACATTTACCATTTTCTCCAATGGTAAAATAACTAAAACTGGTTAGAAATAGCTTTTCAATAAAATTTCTTGGTGAAACGAGCCAATATATCAACTTACACCCTGTAACAGTAGTATAAGCTGCATAAAACATTACGGGTCTAACTTTCCTAAACATACAAATGAAATTAGGGACTAAATCCAAACTTTTTTTTTTTAGGAGCCTGTGGTACCTTAGAATCAGATCTTGTATTTTGGCCTATATTTAAGCTATTTCATTTTCTGCATATCTATTGCTTGGTTATGTATGCAACTTCTGCTTCTTCCGACTTGCAGCACACACTTTTTTTGAAGAAGAATCTGTGGTGTACACAGTACAACAACATGCAAATGTGATTTGTATTGTTAATTTTCAAAGAGATGGAGATGGGTTTGAAGAGCTGTGTTTAGTGGTAACTGAACAGCCAAGCTACATGTATTGCATATATACCATATTTCAAGARTGCTGTCTCGAAAAGAAGACATGAAGAACAACAGAAAAACATGACAATTCTAATCTGATTTTTTCCTAGCTGCTAACCAGTACTCAGGAGATTTTTTTTTCTGTAATATCAGAAGATGACAGTCACTTCAAGTGTTTGGACACAAAAGAAGTCAATGAAGTATTCATGTTTCTAGGCTGACCTCAAGTAGAATGTAGCAGTTTGTTTTTTCTGATGTTCGTCTTGCCTCTGCCCTTTGGTCCACACTATTAATATTAACAGAATGCAATGTTTGTGCTGATATCTACAAAGATATTTCCCCTGGAGTGCTCCTTTCTGGTACCTGAGAAAAACATGAGATTTTGTCAGTACAATATTTACTTTTATAACTGTATTTTCCTCTATATCCACATCTCCATTGTCTCCTGGTCACAGATTGGGATGAACAAAGAACACTGTTTGTTTAAGGAGCTGCTAAAGCCTGACAAACACTGGCAGTCACCATAATGCTGATTTTCATGTATGCTGTGCAGTTTTTTATTTGCTTGTTCATCTATTTTTTTTTATGATAAAATGATGTACTGTGAACATTTACCACAGAGATGCTCATCATCATGCGTTCATACAAATAAATGTGAAATCACCAGAGCATATGACACATACATAAAGTAACCTGCAACATAAAACAGTTAAATAAAGATAAGACTTCTTCAAAACCCTTTGTGGTGAGACAACTCTTACATATTGCTACTATGAAAAAAGGYCCTCTGGGACTTTCCATGACTGGAAAAGCTGACAAAAAGATAATCAGGCAAACTACATTCACACTGGAAATAAACAAGATGTCAAAATTGTACCCACAACAGGGACATAGTCATTTTTGGGGGGATCTGTGCATTGACATACTCAATTAGATTGTAGTGGCTCTTTAGGGTGGCATTAGGGCTTCTCATGATACATTGGGAGCTTATTCTTTGCATGTCAACAGTAAAAATGTGTTACTGAACTGCAAGCCACCACCAATCCTGTCTATATATCTACAGCAGCACATCACACCAGAAACACCCCTTCTGAATCCAGCAAAGAAGACTGTCAGAGATTATGCTCCTAATGAAGGATCTTAGAAGAGAGCCTTAAATCAGGTGCCCTGAACAGTACAGACTTGGAAACCACCACCAGCCTTACCATTTCTTTCGCACTAACTTCTTCACCATTTTGTACTTCTTCTTCACCATTCCTGTGCAACACTCTCCATGATAAAGTTCCATATAGCTCAACGGAGAAGCTGGGAAACACCTAAAATAGCTTCACAGGTCTTTTAGGGATCAGAGATGTTCAAATCTCTTGTGAAAAACAATGCACATGCCACCAAAATGGCTGTTTTGTCAATTATCCACCTACTCTATCATGTTCTAAGRGGCTACAGGCATGAAAACAGAAACTCACTTGCTGTCTTCCAATTCATCCTTGCCTTGTGGGTCTGCAGAGTAATGTCTTAATCTCCCACACTATTCAGCTGGACTACTGCAAGAACAATCCACTGAAACCTCTTATTTCCATATTTCTGCTCTTTTTCTGCAAGCTCATTTGGGTGATAACCATCTCTTTGTTAACTTTATGCAAAKAGAGGAAACAAACAAGATAAAACAGAAGTTAGCTTCATCATTTAGTGCACTACTGGGAAGAACATATACCCACAACAAAGTAACCAGAGTGWTTGATGAGGCTCTAGTTCTGCTAGCTGGATTAAAAATTATCTAGATCCACCTACTCACACTGAAGCACACCTCCAAGTTGCAAGTAGATGTACTTTGAAATCTCATTAGAGATCCAGCAACTAACTACCTTTGACCTTGGACAAGGTCRTATTTTCTCACAATTTGCTGGTCTTTTCCTTTTAGACTGTGAACTACTAGAGTTAATTCTCACCGTGTTTTGCAGAGCAATTTATGTAACAGTGCTATGGATTTAGTTGAAATACCTACAATACTGTTACTAATAAYTATTATATTAACAAGTTAGTTTCCTATTTTTAAGAGTTTTTAAAGTGATATACTAGACCTGGAGAATAGGAAAGGACAAGTAGGGCTACAGATAAGTGTAATAAACTGTGCAGCATAAACCACGGCTTTTCAAATTCTTCTTTTTTTAAATGGTAGTGATGGAGTGGTGGTCATCACAGTAAAAGAAAGGTGAGCTTCCCAGAGCTCTATTCTCTAGTGAGATTCAGAGAGAGGACTTCAACAGCAGCAGCTTTTGTAAGATCAAGGCATTTATTTCAGCAGCTGGGAGAAAAAGTTCTCCCTTATTTGACACACTTCTTTATAGACTCTCTCAAGCTCTGTAAATCTGGARTGACTCATCTTTGACAAATCACATCGCATCACTTCTAGCCTCCAACAACTTATACAAAGGAAAAGCGGATATCTGGACACTACAGCTGGCACAGTAACATAACTGATATTAAAATGTCCTCAACTAGAAATCAGAGACATAACAGTACTGGACATCTCATGCAGTACTACTGTTGCCAGAAAATTTTGGCACCATCTGACAAGTTGACAAAATTCCACGGAGGCTGGTACCTGTCCCACCACAAGTGGTAGCCAGTTTTCCCTAATTGTCCCTCCTCATTATGCCCTTCAGTGGAAAGAGCAAGACAGAGATTCCCTGGTAACATAGTATCTTAACTTAAAAAGGATGAAGAAAAATGGTTTATTTTGTGAGTTCACCTCTGGCACATGTTGAAATGAATGGTGGGGACTATGAGGTGTCGACAGATTTTTGCTCTTCTCTAAGGCTATTTTGGGAAAGATAAAGATGCTGCACAGAAGCCTTGCCCTCCTTGTGGGGAGAAAACTGCCAATAAAAACACAGGCATTCCTCTAGCTAAAGCATGTGATGAAGGGTAGACGGTCTTCTTGTCTCTAGCTCCACTCTCTTATACACAAGAAAATTATTGGCCTCTTCAGATGATCTGAGAAACTGTAATTTAATCCCATATAATCGAAACCTTATTAGCGTCCAACACTTTGGCAGAACAAGACAGAAACTGAATTTCAGTTGTTGGATATCTGCAGATGGTAAGCCTTTCCCAGCACTGAAAAGACAGAAATGGAGGGTGAACCCTTCTGACACTTCTAATCTCATGTAGAGTAGCCATCCTGCTACAGATTGAAAGCAGCCAAGGGAAGGAGAGAAATACAAAGTAAGGCAGTACAGACAGGATGAAAATACAGCTAGACAAAGCAAATACTGACAACACTAGTTATGGAATGGGATAAGAGGCATTGTTCATTGGAGTGTTAAGGTCAGCTATTTGGAAATTTTAACTGTCTTCTAGCCAGGACCAAGATGAAGCTTCTTTGCTTTGCACAGAAGTTTGCKCTTTCTGCAGTTAGTACACTTGTTAGCTTGCCACAGGTTTTCGTGATAAATTGAGCTCYCTTTAGTCTCTGAGCAAATCTGTGCAATATGCAGAATCTTTCCTACTTTGGTTCTTGAAAGATATATGAAGGTTTCTGTGTTTCACTCTTCCAGTATCACCAGACACACCAAGTTCAGAAGACATCAAACCAGATTTCTGAGTTAGGTTCCTGGGATGAAACAGACAGACAAGAAACAAGAAAGAGGCTTCTAACAGGAATACTTGAGACTGGTGTCTCTACTTCATAATTGTGCATACCATCTCCCTCAGTTCTCTTCCACAGATAAGTCATCATGACCCACCAATTCCCTGCGCTGTCTCCAGAGCAGAAGAAAGCTCTTTCAGACATTGCTCAGCGTATTGTGGCTTCAGGAAAGGGGATCTTAGCTGCAGATGAATCAGTGGGTGAGTACTGGATAACAATCAACTAGCATTACCTGAGCTGTTCCCTTTCATTTTGCTTAATCTTCCAAATCAGTGGAGTAAATGAAAACAATTAAAAACTGCCTGTAGGAACAACTGTTCTAGTTAGACAGGGCTGGGTCTTTAGCATTGAAGGCTGCTAACTATGGGTTTATGAAGACAAGCCTTGAGCTGAAGTCTCAGATCATTCTGATTTCTTCCTGTGAGGATCAAAGGCCTAACCATACCCAACACCTTTCTGTGCAACCTTTGGCAACCTTGCCAGGTACCATGGGCAACAGGCTGCAGAAGATCAATGTGGAGAACACAGAAGAGAATCGCCGTGCTTTTAGAGAGATCCTCTTCTCCTCAGATACTTCCATCAATCAGAGCATTGGGGGAGTGATCCTCTTCCATGAGACTCTCTATCAGAAAGACAGCAGTGGGAAGCCATTTCCAGCTGTCATCAAAGAAAAAGGCATTGTGGTGGGAATAAAGGTGGGTATCTGTATTTATCTAGTTGTCATAATATTCTAAGCCCTATTTCCAATGAGAACTGTAAYACAGGGGCTGCACTCTTCGCTGCAAAATATTTTTCCTTGTTTTTTAGAAAGCGTTGAGATCTCTGTCCTCATTCTCTGTACAGCTTTTGAAAAAAAATAAGCAGGACACATTTGTACATGATCCAGCACCTTTTCATCCAACACTACTTCCTTGGAGCAAATGTTGCAACATTCACTGATACCAAACCTCTCATCTCAGTACACAAATTAAAATCCTTTCAGAGGCTGACAGAACTCTTGAGCTGTTCACTTCAGTCATCTGTGTATTGCTCAGTCGTATTTCCCAGTGAACTCCTTTCTTCCCCTTCAGCACATTTCAGCTATCTCTCCTTAGCCTGTTCAGTCCYGTACTTTACTTATAGTTTGTCTGCAAAGACAGAATAGCCATGGGTCACAAGATAAGTAACAGACTGATCTCTATCTATTTTTCCTGTCTCCACAGCTGGATAAAGGCACAGCACCCCTAGCAGGAACAAATGGAGAAACCACCATACAAGGYAAGGAAAGATCTAAGTATGATTATGATTGACAAAGTGAAAGCCATCAGATGACCACAGCCTAAGCTGGTGTCATGATACTTCTAGGACTGTGCTGAGAACACAAAGTTGAGGCCTACCTATAAGGAACTGCTTTCAGTGAAGCACTGTTCTTTCATCTGCAGGGCTGGATGGACTAGCTGAGCGCTGTGCCCAGTACAAGAAAGATGGGGCTGACTTTGGCAAGTGGCGGGCAGTGCTGAAGATTACCAGCACAACTCCCTCTCAGCTTGCTATCCAGGAGAATGCTAACACACTTGCACGCTATGCCAGCATCTGCCAGCAGGTATCTACCCTCCACTAGTCTTTCTTGAGATGCTGTTACTAGTTCTTAACTATTTCCTGTGATAGCAACTACATCTCCGTAAGCAGTTTAAAAAACAACAACAAAAAAGCAGCTAGACTGCAACTAGCATACTATAATTGCTGGSGGTGTCGGCAAAGATTTTTCTGTTTTTCTTTCCTTAGCATGGGTTGGTGCCCATTGTAGAACCAGAAATCTTGCCTGATGGAGACCATGATCTCCAGCGTTGTCAGTACGTGACAGAAAAGGTAAGTTGCCTCATCATGCTATGTGCCTCATCAAAAATCAGTGATTAGTGCAGAGTTTACATTCACAGATAATCAGGGGAGTTTAACCAAGAAAATACTTGGTAACTTTATCACAGAAATTAGATGCTCATATATGATGATTTATTGGAAAACAAGAGACTAGAATCTAGTCTCTTGTCTTTTACATGCCAAATTGAATATCTGTTAGAAGCATCTCACAAAGATTCATGGGGAGTAAAATTGCCTGTTCTTCTGTAACCCTGTTCACAAACAAATCCGAGAAAGATAAAGAGTACCTTAGTCATTCCCAAAGCAGTAGTATCTCCAAGGCTGCAGTAGTGACCCCAGTGACAAACTTCATGAGAAAAAAAAGCTCAATTTCATACTCTCCATACTTTTCTCCATACCGTCAAGAAATAAGCTATTTTTCCACAAYAGGCTGAGCACACTGCAGGTGAGAATTAGATGAGTCTCAGTATGGAAAATCTCCGAGGTATGAGTCAGAGATCTGAAATTTGAGCATACTGAGATCATGGGTCTATATTTAATCCTCTTGTTCTCAGGTTCTGGCTGCAGTCTACAAGGCCTTGAATGATCATCATGTCTACTTGGAAGGAACACTGCTGAAACCCAACATGGTGACAGCTGGGCATTCCTGCCCCAAGAAGTATACCCCTCAGGATGTTGCTGTAGCAACTGTCACTACTCTCCTGCGTACTGTTCCTGCGGCTGTGCCTGGTGATTCCTAATTTATTACTATGTACCCATTACTTTGTGTCAAACCATCACACTGTCACTGTCACTGGCCTTGCTCCTAAACTCATTGCTCTGGCAGATAAAAGTCAGTGGCAATGGTGGCTGCAGCACTCAGCTTCTTCCCTTCCTTACTGCAGGAATCTGCTTCCTGTCTGGAGGTCAAAGCGAAGAGGAGGCTTCTCTCAACCTAAATGCAATGAATCAGTCTCCTCTGCCAAAACCCTGGAAACTGACTTTCTCATACGGGAGAGCTCTGCAGGCCTCTGCTCTGGCAGCATGGGTGGGCAAGTCAGAGAACAAGAAGGCCGCCCAAGAAGCCTTCCGCAAGCGCGCACAGGTAACTTCCCCTGAATACAGAGGGTATAAAGGCACCTTCAGTTTGCAGTATACTGCTGCTGGGTGCTAAGGCAGACCTTTTGCCTCCTTCCTAAGGCTCTTGGTCCTGGCCATCCTGGGTAGGCGGTTACAAATCTAAAGCAAGAAAAAGCAGACATACTAACTAGTGACAATTAGATCATCTTCTTTGGCAACATGGAGCTACATCCACTGTGCTTCTGTTTGAGAAAAATGCATCCCTTTCTGCTGGGTCTGTAAGTGACAAAACAACAGTTCTTACTTAGGACTGCTAGTGATTGCTTGGGCAGTGTCACAAGCCTGAGCTAGATCATAAAAGTCACTGAGAAATTTAGAATCTGTCTCCGTTTTCCCTAATTTTGCCTTACTTTGTTTGCTCCTAATGGTTTTCTACAATTGTCTCTGCTGTTCCTGGCTAACTGCTTTCCCCTTCCCCTCCCTCTTTTTTTTTTTTTTTTTTTTTTTTTTTTTTCTCTCTCCATATTAACAGCTTAGCTGGCAGAGGATCGGATGTCGTGTCTGGGAATACTGATGCAGCTGGCATGCAGTCACTTTTCACTGCAAGCTACACCTACTGAAAGAACAGGAATCCTGCTTTTGTCCTGTCCCTCTTCATAGGTTGAACATGATCAGAATGAAAGAAAAACAAAGAAATCTAATTACCTTTACCCTAAACAAAATTTGAAATAAAACAATTAGCTTCCCCACCACCCTTTGCTATTATGACTTCGGGGTATAATATTCCTGTATGATCTGCACGTTCTGTACAACCAGAATATTTCCCAGAGTATAAGCAACAACTGCCATTGAAACAATAACCCCACTATCCCTCTGGTTTAAACTCCTTCCCCAAAATACCAGGCAGATTAGGTGTTTGGAATAATTTGGGAATCCATGGTCTCCAGCAATTCAAATGCATGCCTTCTTGCACCTGCTGCTGCCAAAATCCTGAAATCCAAAACCTGACTCTGTCTTTAATCATACGAATAAAACAATAATCAAAGGCTAATCTCTACCTCACAAATCTTTATTCTATAGAAACTTATCAGTCTCTTTCATGTTTGTGATTTTCAGTAGCCAAAGTTAAAACATGAAACATTATTGCTGGTAAACTAGAAAACCCTGAGGAGATCAAAGTGAAATAAACCAGTAATGATAATACCAAAGACATTAATCCTGCTAACTGGAGTCAAGCAGACTGTGAAAACATTGTGTACATATATACATATTTATATACATATACACACGACAAGCACTTCATTGGTYTTCAGCCACAAATAATTATAGAGTGCCTTCAAAATCTTCTCGTATTGCTGGAAAAACTCTCCCTTTGGTTTAGCATGATGTATCTGATACTCACCCACGTAGAGCTGAACAAGTTGAGCCGGTGCTGTGCAAAGACTAATTTTTTCAAATGCACTTTTACTGTAGAGCCTTCAAAACAATTAGGATAACACATACAAGGAGGTATCTCAGCTTCTTGAGATCTTCAGTTGAAAAGTGAGGCTGATGTTAGGGATCCACCACTTCACCTTCAGTGTGTTATTACATAGTTGTGAGGGTGTAACTTTTGTTAAGGAGAATTAGCTGTGTTACAGAAACAGCAAAATCAAATTATATAAAAATAGTGGCGAAGCAACTTGAGAGCAACAGTTCAGAGCAGTCCTTCAGTCTGTACATACATCTGGAGGATGTTCTTCCCCCTCCTGCATCACATCCACCTCTGCCCAGAAGGACAAGGCACAGCTCTGCTGCTGGGCTCGCCTGGCCATGCAGGACCTTCACGGACACCTGGGGACATCAGCACACTCAGTGTCCTGCTCCTCTGACCACTGATATGGATGCTCCTGTCAGCAAARAAATGGGAAATAACTGCTTGTGTGTAACTCTGCTGTGTTCTTCGAGTTAATAACAGCAAGTACCCAAACTCCTTCATGTGGATCCTATCACTGCACAGTAATTAATAAGTATGTTGAGTCTGTCCTGACACAAAACAAGCAAGACAACCACGTGACTTGCCAAAAGGCACTCTAGAGCCCATAGCGGAATCAGGAGCAGTATCTGTGTTCTGGCTCAGTCCTAGTGCTCCGGGCCTTCAAGCACCTGAATTCAAATAACTTCCTGCTCCCAGCAAATAGTTCATTATTGTGCTACAAACATCACTATGATATTTCTTTTAATATCATAGGGGATATTAAATAATTTTGATATTAAATAAATTTAATATCAAAGGGGATATTTGGGGWTTTTTTTTGGGGAAAAAAATCCCCAAAATGGGAGTTGTGGGGAGGAGGGGATGGTTCAGTCCCTTTCTAAAATAGAAGTTTTATCTTTGCTGAATATTTCCTGCTTCTCTGCTGGACAAAAAACTGTGCTAGGTTCAGCTGCAGGCGAGGGTCTGACTCCTTACTTTTCTCCCTGGCAAGGAGATTTATGACCAGAGCACGGTGTTCATTAAAAGCCTTATCGCAAATCAAAGCAAGGCCATGTCTTCTGGCTGTGCACAGATCAAGGAATATTTCTCGCTTTTAAAAGTGAGTGCCCTTGTTAAAAAAAAAAAAAAAAAAAAAGAAAAGAAAGCAAAAGTAATTTCTCCTTTATTTGCTTGTTCATATCTGAAACTGTTAGCAGGCAGAAGAAACTCACTGTAGAAACATAAGAGCTGATGAGGCTGGAGTCTATTACAGCGCAAAGATGCAAGGAAAATCTCAAGATAGCTGCTGGAGCTTTCACTGAAGGGAAAAAAAAATAAAAAAGGCAATCACTAAAATCTCAGCAGGTGATGACATATGCCCGTACCCTATGTTGTTTGAGTCCCGCATACTCTGTTGCCAAACGTGCTTCCCACGCCGCAGCTGCGACCGCCGGGCGCCGTTTCCCCTGCGAGGCGCCGTTACCCTTGGATGGAGGAACCTGCCACTCTGTCTCCCGGCCCGGCAGGACGCGGAGACGCGGGCGCCTCCCGCGCTCCTTCCTCGAGGAGCCCACGGCGGGCAGAGGACAAGGGCAGCAGCGAGGCGGGGGGTTGGGGACGGGGGGAGACAGAGCGATTTCGAACGGCGGCACCGTTGGCCGCGCGCGACCGTTGGCGGGGACCGTTGGGGAACTACAGCTCCCATGATGCAGCGCGCGGGGCGGGGGGGAGGARCCGCCTTCCCCCGGCGCCACCGCGCGCTGCGCCAGAGGAGGTGCCTCAAGATGGCGGCGGGCGCGGCCGTCATGGCCGTGGGGCGGCGGGTGCTCCTGGGTGCCGCGCAGCGCCGCGCGCTCTGGGGGGGCTTCAGGTAACCCGGAGGGTCGGGCAGAGCGGCTCCCTTTGCCGCCCTGAGAGGCAGGGGGCGTTTTGGAGCGTTGGTCTCTTCCGCCGGGCACCCCCCGGGCTGGGCCCAGGAGCGGCCACCGTGCGTAGATAGGAAACTGAAAGAAACATGAAGGTTTTAAATTCTTCATGAAAGAAACATGAAGGTTTTAAATTCTCCAAGACGTAAAATTAGCAACGCGAATGGTCGCTGTGTATTGGCAAGGCCTGTGGGACTGACAGGATAAGTGCTGGGGTTAAGAAAGAGAAGGGCTGTCACTGGCACTTCTTGTGTGCATAATAGAGTAATACTATAATAATATGACTTGTTCTGTGCACGCAGCGGGTGTGTAAGTTCTCTACAGACTAAATTGAGACAGGCCMTTAAAGGACTATGAGCAGCAATATGCTTTTATTGATTAAGCAGCCAAGAGGCTGAAAATGCTTGCCTTATGTGATGTATCGTATAATTAACATACATCTTATACCAACAGGAAAAAGGAGGAAGAATTAGATATAGAAAAAATAGTAGAGCCAGAGGAAAAGGAGCCCAGTTTAAGGGTTCCCCCGCCACGCAGCAGAAAYTACGTCCCTCCAGCAAATCTACAAAGTAACCTCGAGATTCTTGTCAAAGAGATATTTGGGCCTTCAGTTCCTGAAAACTGGCAACAGACATCCCTGAAAGAAAATCGGTTAAAGTTTCTCCTCCTGGATCAGCTGGCATCAGAACTCGGTCATACCGTCCCCAATTCACAGCTCCATCTGATGTGCAGTGCTGCGGATGTGTTGAAATTCTACAGCACTCCTGTGAAGGATGTGTCCAAGTTTGATGAACTGTGTGCTGCAGAGCTACCCCCAAACCTGAAGATTGTTTGGGAACAGTGAATTGTACTGAGAGATATTGCTTTGTTTTACACGTGTTCCTAAGGGAGAATGGTGCAGCAGAGCCYTTCCACCTGGTTATGGGCCAAAAGTTTGAATATCATGAATAAAAGCTAATATCAGTGTCTTCAGATGTCATTGTTTGTGTTTATGCTATGTTCTGAAAAGAGCAGAATTTTATACTATAGAATAGTGACACAGTGTGGTCAGTGAAGTAATAATGTATGTTTTTGTCCTGTGCYGTACTGCCTACAAGTTGTAGGACCTCGTGGCTGCAAAGCAGAGAGAACCAATTCCCATCTCTTTTCTGCACCATGTAAACATTCTGGTTTTCAATCTGCAGTGTGCAGTGATCATGTATTAGTGCTAGTGCATTTTGTATATCAAGGGAGCTCTCAGACACTCAGACCAGGCCAACAAACAAGAGAAGCAGTGGAATAGGGTTGYCTTTCTGTTGTTTGATTGTTTCCTGTAATTGAAAAGACCTCTCAGAACAATTTCTAAAAGTCAACAGGTTTTATTTTAGATCAAGCTCCCCCACTCTGACAATACAAACCTAGTGAGTGCAAAGTGGAATTCTGTAATGTATTGACTCAGCAGGAGAGATCTATTTAGCAGTTCTATTGATTCTCAAAGCAGCTATTACTTAGTACTAGATATGTGTACTACTACGTACTACTCTGCAAGTAATAGCAGTGTTTAAAGGTAGGTGTGCTCACCTGCAAGCTTCTGTGATACCATGTAATGCATAATGATTAATAATGAGCAGGCAAGTAGCGCCCAGGGAATTCGGCATGAGGTCTAAACGCAGGTGCAAATGGCTGAGTTTTATGGAGCTGMTCTGCACACTGCTCTGGGCAGGCGAACACTTGTCTGCTCTGCTGGGTTTGGTTTGTATTGCAGCTTGGATGTGTTTTTATGTTATGAGGAGGTAAATAATGCTGATTGGTTTCAATGGCTATCAAAGCAATTGATCAATGGAAGCAAAAATATACAAATATATTCACCATTTATTTGCACGCAGAGGAAAGGTGCTTTTTTCTTCTTGATTCCTTCTACCAAGCATGTTTCCCTGCAATCCCAAATAATACTTCTGTTGGAACTTCATTTTTTGCTCATCCACCTATCCTTTTATCTTTCCTTGCAACTAGTATAATCAGAAGAAAGAGTGAAAATTGAGAGACTGAAACATAGGAGGGTAGATAGTCAAGAAAGGAGGAAGCTGTTAATTACAACAGTCTTAGTCTTCTGTTTTGCCTTAGATGTGTGATAGCAAAATGAGACTACACCAATTCCAGGTATTGCACAGTAAACCTTAGACTTCTTTCATCAACACTTTAAAAGAAGCTTCGGGAATTAAGCAACATGAAAGGAGGAAAAATGAGACAGGCATTTAACATGAAAGACTTCAGCCTTTTCTAAAAAGCTGACAAAGCAAAAAGCTGAACTGGAATCAAAGACTTAAATTACACAAATCACAGAGCGGTTGAGGCTGGAAGGGACCTCCAGAGATCATCTAGTCCAACCTCCTGCTCCCGCAGGGATACACAGGGCACAGGGTGGCATCCAGGTGGGTTTGGAAAATCTCCAGAGGAGACTGCACAGCCTCCCTGGGCAGCCTGTGTCAGGGCTCCGTCACCGTCACAATCAAGAAGTCATTCCTCAAATTCAGGCAGAATTTCCTGKTTTTTTTTCCATTGGTGCCCACTGCCTCTAGCCCTCTCGCTAAGTGCCACTAAAGAGTATCTGGCCTTATCTGCATCGATGCCCCTGTGCAGAAAATCTCATTGTCAAGAAACGAATATCCACAAAGGAGACAGAGGAGTCCTAGAATTTTATTCAAATAAAGGAGGAGTCCACCGGGGTATACCCCGGTGGGAGCTCTCAAATTACTGAAGGACACAGCCTCCTTTTACTCTAATTTCCCCATGGAGTTAGGCCTTCTCTTTTTCCTSGCTAAGGCACTCAGAAGTTACAGACTTCTCAGCACACCTAAGATATGTTGCTTCTTGCTATGTTCKCTCTTTTATTTGCTGATAAGGAGGTCTCTGCCCCAGGTGCAGTGCGCTACACCCAGTCTCATTCGCAYAGCACGACCTCCCTGCCTGGACCTCCTGGTTCTGCTGGCTTAGGAATGTGCAGTAGCTCACTTATTTGTAAAGACACAGCCTCCTTTCTCCCATATTTGTAAAGACACAGGCTCCTTTTGCTGCTCACTCCCCATTAAAATATTTCTACATACTGGTAAGAGCTCTGTGTTGAAATTAGGCTGAAAAGGCCTAGCTCTCTTAGCGTTTCCTCATAAAAGACTCATTTCTGTTCCCTCACTTTTTTTGTTACTCCTATGGAGTAACATTTTTATGGAGCATGGAGTCTGCAGTCGCTCCATGCCCGTCTTGTGCTGGGGAGCCCCACACTRGACACAKCTCTCTCCGGAGGTGGCCTCACCAGGGCTGGGCAGAGGGCAGCATCATCTTCCCTCTCTCAACGTGCCGTTGGGTGGAAGGACACGCTGCTGCTTCATGGTCAACTTGGTGTCCACCAGGACTCCCAGGTCCTTCCTGCAGGGCTGCTCTCCAGCAGGCCACCCCCAGCCTGTCCTGGTGCCTGGGATTTTTCCTCCTCGGGTGTAAGACCCTGCACCTGCCCTTGTTGAATCTCACGAGGTTCCTCTCTGCCCATCTCTCCAGCCTGCCCAGGTCAGGTCCCTCTGATTGGCAACACAGCCCTCGGGTGCATCAGCCACTCCTGTCAGTTCTGCCTCATCTGCGAAGCTGCTGAGAGTGACCCTGTGCCTTCCTATGAGTCATTGATGAATAAGCTGAATAAGCCTGGAGCRGTAAAATAAAAGAGCCACAGAGGGGCTGTTACAAGCATTATAACTTTAATATTTTTAAAGGTGCTTAAGCAGGTTGTAACAGTTGGACTTTCTATGGAGTTAAATTATAAATATTAAAACGACCAAAAAGGAAAAAAAAAAMCTGTTAATCTTGGCAATCCATTTGCAGGACTTAAAATTAACTTATTATAACCAGAGATAAAAAGAACGACAACAACAACAAAGTGAAATAAACTAGATTGGGAATATATTTCATAAGTGAGAGATTATATGACAGGCTGGGTAAACAGAAGTCTATATAAATGAAACTCTATTGTCCCATCTGCTAGGTTGCTTGGGTTCATTAACTAATTCATATGTTCCAAAATTAAGAGTTTTCTACCTGGATTCTGAGCATATGTTCAGATCTGATCCCTCTATTCCTATTGCTGTTGATACCACTCCAGGAATTACTGAAATGCCCTTCCTGAGAAATATATCAAGTATTCCAAAGCCAGAAAATGCTCTTTTTGGTTGCATTTGGGGGGGCATCTGGAAACAAGTGAAAACATAATCAGAATTACTGGTGATTGTTAGTACTAGAGAAGAATGAGGGCCAGAAATTAAACATATGGATGTCCTCAAGCGCTCAGCCCCTATGGGATAGAATAACTGTGTTTATAGTAACCATTTTGTAACTATACAGTAACTATACTATACTATTTAGTAGCTATAACTAGTACTATTACTAGTAGTATTACTAGTAGCTAAACTAGTACTATTTAGTAACTATACAGGAGACCTGAAGCTATGAATGTATATAAAATTCCCTAAGGCAGACAATATGATGAAAAAGGTGTTATTGGCAGTTTCTTTCCAGAAGTACTCTTTAAATTCTAGGCTGCTTCAGTGAGGTTATTGTAAGTGGTTAAGACAAGCGGTAGTAAACTGGCTGGACTGCTGATCTCACAAGCCTCTTGTTTTTTGGGTTTCAGTTCATTTTATTTAAGCATTTGCTCTTTCTACTGTCTCTTCCCCCTCTCTGTGTTCCTTCACTGGATCTTGCTGTTGCCTCCACACCTCTGTTTTGTCAATGACCTTTCACAGCTCTGTGACTTTTGGGAAAAGGACAGTGGAGCCTTGGGGCAGGTGTGAGGGGCTGCACTGCTCTGCACTGGATGTTTGTTCCATTTCCCGAAACCTGACGATCCAGTGCAACACCTCTGCGAATGGAAATGACTGGCTTTTCAGGAAGGGTTTTGTACTTGACATTCCACTCTCTGATGAAGTGTGATAGGGAATATCTTGCACAACCACCCCGGCTTGCTTGATTCTGCCCCCAGTTCATCACGCACATAGATGACGACTGATAGCCAGCCAGATCATAGAGAAGTGATAGGCAGCCTTGAAATACAAGCTGTGATAACAAACTCCATGGAGCCCTCTACCTGCTCGTCGAGAGTGGACTGAGTCACTCAAGTATAATGACAATAAAGTATTCAGGTATCCTTTCATCCTTATGYCAGGAGTTATTTACAGTCGAAGCAAACCTTTTCCTCTATGGTGCATAGCACCTTTCCTTCATACCTGGCCAGGAGACCAGTCAGTGCATGTGATGAATGAATCCCCATGTTACAGTTGGAAGGGATATGATTACTCAAGATAAAAAATACTACTGTATGAAATACAGAGGAACAGTCCCTCCACAGATACTTAGGGGCAAAATGCAAAAGCCTTTACATCAAATCAAAGGACTTCTTTCTTCGGAGGAGAATAAGTATGTATTTATTTCATCAAATAGCTATATTAACTATTTAACAGGAGCTCCTGAGTTCTGACAAAAGTAAATATGTTTTCACGTTTTAACTTTGATCCGGGATATCATCTGGTGATGGCTAAGTGTACTATAAATCTAAACCAGTAGCAAATATACAGAGCTGGCCAAGAGGAAATGCAGTGGTCATGCCTTGGTCTATCTTCATCTTTCATTCCTCCAGACTGTGAGTACTTGCAGGAAGCATGCATGTCCGTGTGGACCCACAGCCCTGAGACCTCTCCTGGCAGGTATATCCCTGTGTATTCCATCAGACAGCACAGCTGAATCCACYTCTTTGTGTTGAAGTGGTGAGAGAGATGCCTCCTGAAACAGTGCACTGTAACCAAAAGGATAAGGCAGCCGTTGAGGAAATGAAAAATCCATGTTCATATCCTTCTTCAACCTGAAGGGTGGAGGAAACTCAAAATTACTTCTCCCACCTTCAGAAATATTGCCCATGCCATTGAGCTAGAGGATATGCTGAGAGGGGGAGAAAGTTCCTATCAATTCTGCTTGTGCTCTTAACCAAGAATGCAAGATTTGCACGGTGGTAACAGTGCATCCAGGAGGGACATGAGTGCCTGAGAGTGGTTGTACAAAATGCAGTATTGACTGCCTATAACCTTTGCTAACATGTTGTTATCTTCCTAATATACAAGGACTGATTCCAAAGCCAATTTCATTTGGCAGAATTTTTCCCCGAGTTTCTATGGAATTTGGATCAAACTAGATTTCTTTGTCATAGAAGGTCTGCATGGCTCAAGTCTGACTTCATTCCTAAGAATAAGGCAGACGTTAGCAGAGTCACAAGAAAATACTGTCTTGGAAGAACCCCTGCAAGACAAGACATCCCAATATCCCAGACATTCCAGTATCCCAAATATCCCAGTATCCCAATATCCAAAGTATCCAAATATCCCAAATATCCCAATATTCCAAATATTCTCTATATTATGCACAAATAAGAGAGAGACCAGACTACAGATTTTTTTTTTGATTTTTTTTCATCTGTTTTGGAAAAAAAATATACAAAAAAAAGCCAAGAATAACCAACATGGAAATGTGAGGTAAACATTCCAGTAAAAGTACAGACAGAGGTTCCATTCTTTAAAGGAGACATACAGCAGTTATCACCATGCTAGAAGAATGAGATGCAGGAAAATCCTAGAAACAGTGAGAAATGATGAAATGAAGCCTTTACCCCAATTCTAGCAACTGCGAGTAGACTCCTGCTTATGTGCCCCCCCCCCCCCCAAATTCTCACACTTTATTCCTTAAGCAGTGCTGCTAAACTGTAAAATAGCAGTTTCAATATAAATTCTGCATGGTACAATTTACAGGAAAAAAAAAAAAGCAGACTGCTACTACAGACGGTGCTAGGCCTATTTTTGTGACTCGTGAAAGCCCCACTGGGAAAACAGAGTCCCCGTGCCAGCTGTCTGGGCAGAACTGGCTGCCTGGCTATACCAGTCTGCATGCCAAGCTCTCCCACTCCACCAGGGAAGCGGCATCACTTTTCCTTTGCACAAATGTTACTGGTTACCCCACAACACTATGATGAAGTTATGAAACACTTAAAGCCTCAGCCGCAGTTCCACAGCAATGGCTATAAATCCCCATAGTCTATTCCTGAAGCCATTAAGTATAACTGGGAGCTTTGGCCGGGCCAGTTGGAGGAACTGAGATCTACGGAGATGATATAGTCAGCTCACATGCTATCAGCTACCACTATAATTTTTTTATGTCCAGTCTGTCTATATTGCAGACTGGGCATGTTTTAGTTATCTTCAATAACTAGCACAATCCTTCTACCCTAGATCAGACTCTGATTCAGTGTGATGCCCAAGTCCACCAAGTAGACTGGAAATGGACCAGGCAATGGGTCCATGGTACCAATGAATGCTTAAGCAGCTCACTGAGAATCAAACATTAATGTTTATCACTTCTTGGTAACATTGTTCAAGCTGGATTCCTGATCATCATTATCTTAATCTCAATTAAATACATGAAATTACTTCAGAATAATGCTGAGCTAACTAAGATCAGAATCTGACCTACTGGTAGAAGCATTTCTTACTGTAAGAAAAGGTAAAAGTGAATTATTTTATTTCAGGTATATAAATTCAAAACTGAAGAAAAAAAAGAATCCGTGTACAAATATCACATAACAACATTAACAATTCCATAGATGTAGTTCCTCAGTGCACATTTTTAACAAGAATTTTTTTTTTTCTGCTTTGCTTTAAATTCTGGCATAATAATATTAAAGCTGACAAAAAATCAGGGCAAGCTACATCACTTCCTCATACAAAAAATGTACAAAACATCAGCCTCTAACTAGACATAACATAATACTGGTCATCACAGTTTGACATTTATTAACTGTGTGTCTTGGAATATTGTACTGGAGGGTAATAAAAAATATTTTCTGCTGCCAATCTTCCAACTCAGGTTACTTCAGTCATTGAGGCAGAGTGATTCTACAAAGAATAAAATGAAAATACATGAACATTTTTGACACATGCCATTTATGTATCTAGTGCGTGAAGTGGACTAGTTTTAGTCTTCATAGACTAAAATCTATAAATAGATACCTAGACATTTTTTTTCCCACCACAAATATTTTTACCAACTCAATCTATTTCTCATACAAAATTGAGCCTGAATAGATGAAAAGGTCTTTTTAACAGAAGAAGGCTTCTGGACTGTAAGTTGACCACTTGAACAGTTCTTGCACACAATTTACAGAAATGGTTGAAAGTCTTTTATCAAAATTTTTCATAATGGAAACTAATTTTTCAATTAAGCAAAATATTTTTAACTGTTAGAAATAGCATCTAACCCAGAAATGGATATATATATGTGTGTATTTATGTATGTATGTACACATATATACATACATATATGTCTGTATGTACATATATGTATATATTTCATTCTCATTTTCAATCAGTTCATTAAAAGGTTAGATAAAATTTCCTGATGACTTTGCCACACAACACATACTAACAGCAGTGCCAGACCACTGAAAAGATGAGGTAAAATTTAAAGCATAAATAAATTACATCAGGGCATTACAGAGAACTGATAATATAAAGCTTACAGTTCAAACTTGTTCCTCAAAATTCTTGGCAGTTAGCATTCATTTTGTGAGTACTGAGTAAGTTTCTCTTATTCCAATAAATTCCCGAGGAAGTTAATGGTTTATCAGTAATATCCAATGAAATGTTCCCACTGGCCAATTTCTTGCAAACTTGAATTTGTTTAGTTTTTTAGTTTCTCTCTTAGCAACTTTTTAACATTATTAACATTACTAACAATATTAATATATTTTAACATTATTTGTCTTCTTGAAGAAAACTGTAAATAAGAAACTAGTTTATATCTTTTTTTTTTCATTAGTATTTTTTTTTTGTCTGGATTGTAAGTGTTAATATTTATGGAAAGAAATCCCCCGAGTGTATCCRAAGTGCTATTAGGCAGAATTATCTMTACTTTTTTCCAGTTTAATGTTCTTCTAATCAAAAGTTTGTTACCACAGAAGATATGCAGAGGCATAAAATCTTATTGCTTTAGCTTTTAATACATGCAAGGACAGACAGTCCAGTGCAGTGGAGACCATAAGGGATAAATGCAACTGAACAGACTACACTTAATGCAAACTCATTCTGGATTTTGTGTTAGCAACAGCACCAGCCCCCTCTACAGTTCTGCTTACAACTAGTTTTTACTCTGCCAGAAGCAACTGTTTGTTTGGTGATAACCTGGGTGGGTGGATCTACAGTACCTGTGCACTCAGTGTCTCCAGCGGGCTTTCCACTCTGGGAAAAGCCATTAATGGCATTCCTCGTGGGTCTTCAGGCTTCGGTTTGGAAGGAGTTCCATGTATGCCTTTAAAGTTATGCACAACACATATCCCCTATGTAATGCAGGAGAAAAAAAAATCAAAACAGTAAGGTCAGCATGCTCAGACTCAGGAATTACTTGGAATTCCTATAACCTGAAATACCTGTCTCAGGTATTCATTCCCACTTAACAACTCAAAATTGCCTGTTTTTGCAAAGTACAATGCCTTAGGTTTCAGTTCCACTCAYCATCTGGCCGAGGCTGCCACAGTGCAGCCTCTGAGGATCTGAGTACCTGCATCATCCTCTCAGAACCAAGGACTTACCCTTCCCCCGCCGCTGTGCTTTCCATCCAGAAATTCCTTTGAGACCCTGACTATCAATTGCAGGCCATGAAAACAGCACATTCAACGTCTGAGTMCACCTCACATCTCACATCTGGCTCACACTGAGCCCAGTCAACATGCACACAGTGACAATAACGAGGCTAATTCTGCACATCACTGCTTGGGGCTCAGCAACGGAAAGGAAAGGGCACATCTAGGCACTGACTCATCTGCTGCCAGGGCCATTTCCGCAGCCAGCTCCTTKCTGGCTCTTTCCCTGAGCTGCTCTTGGGCTGCAGCCTGGGCAAGCTATGCTGGCAGCTCCCAGCACAGAGCTCCCAGGGGACTTCTTCCACCAAATTGGGTTGTGAGCAGGCTGTCACTGCTGGAAACAGGTGCTGGGGCCATATGAATTGTCCTGACCAGATGCACGGGGTGACTGCCTGTTATATTATATGGACTAGATTTAAACTGCCTGTTCCGCTGGGAATCAGGAAAGCAGTAACAGGCTTATTTAAAGCCAGAGATCCATATCAGGAGATGTCAACATCTATTTATTGAAGAGAAGCATTGGAATAGATTATTTAAGACTGGGATTTTTATTTTTCTATTTTCCTCCAGAAAAGAAGAACAGGGGAAAAAAAAAAAAAAGAAAAAAGAAAGGAAAAAAAAAAGATAAATGGATACAGTGATAGAACAATCTGGTTCTGATAAATCTTTAAAAATTGATTTATGCTGAGTGCAGGGGATTTGGGTAGACTGAGTGACCTCCTGAGGTTTCTCTCAACCTTATTTCCACTATTTCCTATGGATGTTCTGTTTGAATTGCCCTACCAAACCCTTCCAAAGGTAAGGAAGTTGTGTGCATAGTTAAAGAAAGTACTTACTATATTAGTGTAAAGTTCTGCATTAMATTTTGATTAAATGGAGCCAGGCTCTCTGATACATTAATTCAAATCTCTTCTATCTTTAGACCATTTTTCCAGGACAGGCCAAGCAAGAGCACCATAACTACAACAATCTTGAAATACAAGTGAATATATTATTAAGATCACTTGAGCCTTACTAATTAAAATCATGATTCCATATTACGTCTTTCTCTGATGATACATCTCATCTGATGAGGGACCAGTATTAATTTTTAGGAAATGATTCATCAGTTATGATAGGTAAGATAGCAAAAAAAAACCCCAAAAAAGTTCTTTTACCTGAGGTACTTTTTAAAGAACAGAATGGGGAAGGAGTGATGATCTTACCAGAAACAGAGCTACTGCACTCCCCAGGATGAAGCCTGCGATCACGTCCGAGCAGTGGTTTCGATACTCGGAAACTCGATTGAGGCCGGTGAGGAATGCAGCACACAGGGTACCCAAACACAAAACAGGTTTGGCTAGCCTGCTGCTCTTTGTTTTTATTGTGCTTGTGATGTACATCTGAAACACAGGAGAAGACACAAATGAAACGATGTTCTGCCAAAAATTAAGCTTTTTTCCACCCAGACATATGCTATGTCAGAATGAAATGAAATACGTGGTTCACTGAAAAGCATTGAGAAATAAGAGGTTTAAGTTAAGTCACAGAATGTTTTTAAGAGAACCAAATAGCTACTAAAAAGCAATTATTTCAGGATGTCCTGTGCCCAGTGAACTGCAGTTATACAGTAGAGTTTCTGATTTAATATGGAGAGGTTCAGATCCCTTGACTTCTTAAATTGTACAAATGCTTGCTCATATGCCAGGAAACATGTACATGACTAGATTCATGACTGAATGTGATGCAAAATGAGTCAAGAATTTAAATTCAATTTTTATATATTCAATTCTGGGATGAACACACCCAGTGYTTTGTATCCATGAAATCTAAAAAAACAGATTCTCAACATTAAGAGAAATAAYTACAGACATTTTTTTTTCTGCAAGGTGAAAGAAAAAACAGAATATGAGAAGGATTTATTTTAAACAATACTTCTTGTGAAAAGGTAATTACTAAGCAAAACTTTCATTGCACTCAGAGACTCATTGCTTAATATACATCACCTTTTTTTTTTTAATTTTAAATGCTTTGACAAAAAGGGTAAAACATGTGAGGCAAAATTAGCAGCCAGTCATTAATTCCAGAGTGACAGAATGAGAGTAATATAAGACAAATAAAGACTAATGGCAAAGAAATACAGTAAAATCCTTCTTGGCAAGGAAAGATGGACACCTGCATGAACTAAAAAGCTTTGGTAAGCAAAACAAATGCATCTTACTATTCAAATTCTTTTTTTGCCAAAAAAAAAAAAAAAAGCCTCCAGCATGCACAGAGATGACATACTCCTTCCAAACATGAAACAGAATCAGATTGACTCATTTGGACTCACTAAATATTTACTATTTACTTGGTAAATGAACGTGAATCACATAGTATATATCTGAGCCTGTTCTGCTGCTGAATTAAAGCACTGAAAGACACGGAAACAACTCTTTCATTTTTTTTGACATCAAGTGATTCCGCTTTAGTCATAAAGAAAAAAATATATACTGCTGTTGATATACATATAAAGAAATTCATCAAAGCTGGTAATCTTTCCATTCTTTGCCCTTTTTTTTTTTTAGTGATTAAAAGTCAAAAGACAGTTCTCGTAGTCGTCTAAACAAAAGGCTCCTATGCACACTTCTCATGCCAATTCCAGCTGCAATCCCACCAGTGTAGGGAACCCTGAAAGGATCATCCGGAGGTCACAAATCTCACCAGCCCTGCGAGCATTTCATTTCCAGGAGAGGGCATGGTCCCAGAAGATGCTGAGATGGAGACCTGAATGTCTCATTCTTTCCTTGTCACCCCAACAGCCAAGAGTARGGTGCAGGCTCATGCTACCAGTCTTGGCTATAACCCCTTGGTTGGGGTGAGGCTGCCTCTAGATTTCCCTTAGGCAAAGATGCTCCTAAGGGTTTGCTTGGCCCTTACGTTCGTCACCATCATCATSGAATGACTTTCTGATGTGGGTTCTGAATCCTCTAATGAGTGCAGAAAAGCACACTCAGTAGCCCATGAGCTAACTGGCAACCAGGGCCAGTAACCAGTTACTTATGGTATTTTATAATTTATGTCCTGGTCTTCATGAGCCATGTATACAAATATCCATGTGGGCTGCATGATAAACATGTTTTTCAGATACAGGCAAAAATGATGTCCTTTCTCAAGGACACTGTCCATTGCCTCATATGTATTCTTCTATTTTTCTGTCTTGCACAAAGCATTTTGTTTCACTCCAGCTTTTTCACTGTCTTTATTCTTTACCCTTTTCCCTGGCTGTACCCGCAAACAGGCTGCTGTCTATCTTAGGAACTACTGCAATATGTAATTCTGGAAGAAGAAAGGAATCCTCCCTTCTTCTAGCAGGAACTTCCTGGAAGAGAAAGGGAGCAGCTGGAGAAGCTGTGCAGGGAAGGCAGTTCCTCTACCCAGGCAAAATTACACTTTCACCTGCCAGGCAACTGCTGTGATAAGCTGAATGACAGCTGTGTTTGGCCCATGTGACTGAGAATATGAGCTTAATGAGAAACACCTTCATCAGAAGCACAGCACTTCTGTTTTGATCTGTGATTTTTTTTTTCAAGATTACAAAATAACTAGAGTTGGAAGGTTTTGTTTTGAGGGAGAAGCACCCCAAGCAGCTCCCACCTAACAAGTTCATTTTAAGATAAGAAACAATAGGGAATGAAGCACTGTAACTGAGGAGCTGTTATCTGTCATCTACGGGAAATACGAATTGTTTATTTTAAAAAAAAAAAAAGGTCTTTGCCTAGGGAAACAAACCTTTCTACCCTCAAAAGTGCTGCTGAGCATATCACTGTAAGGCAAATTCAGTTTATGTATTGGAAAATTATGGTTTATACTAGCACACGGAATAAGGCTAAGCTGTTCCAGCGTTTCCCACTCTCTGTGCAGCAAATAATCCTACTGCAGCACATGCCTTGGAAAAAGAGTGGGTGACCGAGCACTAGGCGGCAATCTTTCCTYGCTTTTCCCTGGTAGGTTGAGCTGCACCTGACTATCGTGAAAGTCGCTTTAAGGTTCTTCTACGGAAACAATAGGAAATAATACCATAGACGTGAAGTGCCATTTCATGAATAATTACCGCCCATCTTTCACTGTATGTATCTCCTCTAGGAGAAGTGAATTTAATCGAGCAATAGGGAGCCAGGTTGTTTTCCTATTCCTCACCAATCACTACTGCAGTTTACAACAACCAAGGGAAAATAATAAGCTCTTTAAAGCTACAACACAGTCCTGCTGAGACAGCAGCAAATCCTAGCTAGGGAGAACAACACATTCATGCCTGTTTTCTTAAAGGTATGAGAAAAAATTGCATGTTCAGTATGCCCACGAGAGACCTCTCCTTATTACAAACGAATTGTGACCAATTTGTTAGAAGTTTCATGCGTATTGGCAGGAAAATGTAAACTTGTAGTAAAGAGGGTGTTTGCAGCGATGAGAACAGTAATTAACCATGTGAACAGATTGCCAAGGGGAAGTGATAGATTCTCCATCACTAGGAGGTTTTAAAACGAGACAGACTGTTTTCCCAGAAGACGTGCCCTAGCTCATCTATAAATTACAAACTGCAGTCAGAAATGTCTGGGTGAGAGTCTCTATTCTGGTTAGACTTGCTGATCACTGCATTTTGATCTTTATTGCCTTAGTCCCTAAAGTCAAGGTTTTTCTAAAAATTCTCACGTCTTTCCCCCTTCACTTAAAAGCCATGTTTAAGAGCCCACTGTGTCAGTGAAAAGCATGTATTTTTGACTTCCTACATCCTGCACATGTTTCTGAATATTTCCTACAATATTATTTTTGGGCTAAATTTGTTTGCAAAAGTGTGTCAAAAAGAGCTATTTGATGTGTTGAAGAGGAGAAGGAAGTGAATATAAAAAGATATGAGAAAAAAAAGAATAAATCAAGCATGAAAATAAATTAGGTATGATTTAATTATACATTATTCAGTTTCTTTAYTCTGCTCTTATCAATACACTCAAGCAGTGTATTTAGTGATATGTGTGATATCCAGCAATTGTGTTGCATAAAAAAAGATATCTCACCTTTTTATAAGGCACAAAAGCATTTATAGTCTGGAAAGCTTTGGTTTCTAAGTTTAAAATAGATATTATATATATTTATGTGTAATATATATATCATATATTTATATATATTTACATATATTTATAATTTGTGCTATATAATGGTAAAGATGGTAGAATGAAAGAACTCCTTCTCCCTGAGAGGGAGGTTTGTGATAGTTCATTCTTCTTGGAGAGTTCACAATTTCAGAGCACCAACAGAAAATCACGTGTCTTACAAGTTTTACAGATCGTCTTTTCCAATACTGTTGGCGTTTCTGCAGTAATAGAGAAAAAGACCCATTGAAAATAATCTTTGTTGTAGAATATGATGCAGTCTCCTAGATACGCAGTGCAGAAGCCTAAGTGCCATGGCCTTGAACTTAATTGATTGCCCAGTAGATGTTAATGCAGAAAACAGGGGGAATGCAGGTGGGGTCACAGTGACCGGGGCTGCAGAAGGGATTTGCTACAGTGTTATGTGCCAGTTAGAATTTCCCAAATGTTGAAAGTTTAATGTCCAAATATATTGTATTCTTCTAATTTCATTAATAAGCAACCCAGGTGTAAATAAGAGCCAGGTCATGGTCCACTGCAATGTGGCAGAGCCTTCTAGCCAGATGGAGGTGACAGAAAGCATTAGCTCTGGGTGCTGCTAGGCAAGAAGTCATCTGAGAAAGCCTAAATATGTTATCAAACTGATGACTAAAGTGACTATTTGTAGCTTTAAAACACAGAAACCCTATTATGACCCTGAATAAGTTCTTTGGGCTTTGGCTATATTGTTTTCATTCCATATGGCTTTATCTTCTAGGGGAGTTGTTTGTTTTTGCTACAAATACTAGTAACTTCAGAAATATTTCTCTAGTATCATTTCCCCAAGGAAAAATTATCTAGAAGCACATGCTTCTAACTGTAAATTTTTGCATGCTAGGTAAACAGGGACTGACATCTTTTCCCAACTTATCACTCGGGGGATTAATAAAATATCATTAGTTATCATTCTAGTACTGTTAGAAATATGGAAGACAGGGCTTCTTATTTTTGCCTTCCCCTGAGTTAGGCATACAAAATTTACAGATCTTAGCATGAAGAGATCACCAAAGAGATACTTGTGGTGCTGCACAGCTTCTTTGGCAAGCAAAAGGAAGAAGCTTAGTTGACTGAACATAAAATCCAGATTTAAAACAAACAAACAAACAAAAACAATACACACAATGCCAAATCAGTCACAGTGGGAATACCATCTCTAGCTGAGCTAATGAAGAAATCAGTAAATAGATATTTGCAATGGATACTCCAGTGGCTGAGACTCCCAAACCCCAACAGTAGATCGAATGATGAAAGATGGTGTCTATGCTGATTTCCTTCTCCTGTCTCYTCATGTTATACCCTTTACATTTTTCCTGCTATGTGCCAAGAAACATTTGACTTTATACAAGCACAGTTAATACTAACCAAAACCCCTGTTTTTTACACCTTACAACTCCTCCTAGTATATATATTATATATATAGGATCAGCAAAATATTTCCCAAAGAACTGTACACAGAAAAATTATAAAGCAAAGTTGGACCTGAGCAGACTAAGACTTGATTTCCTGTATTATGTCMATGTCAATCCTGCTGGAAGCTAGAGGAAAGAGCAATGATAGCCCCTTTAGTCCTAGACAGTGGAATGGAAAAGACCCTGATGGTCACCCAAATGGCCTGGAATGCATAAAATCTGTGGTATAAAACAGTCCTGTCTTAACCCTTGAAAATCAGATGCATCTCCCTACCATTTTTACATCTGCAGCAAATGTTTGGGAGGAATTCCAGCTCTGTGGGACAGTGGCTTGTCCCTGTGTTTACTCCCCTCCAACAAGGTGGAGTGAGGATATGAGTACCTTGAAAGACAAGGGCTCAGAAATGCTGAACAGTGGGGAATTCGTTTCAAGAAAAGAAGACCAATATTTCCTTGCGATCCTAGCAATTCAGAGATTCAGTTGTGCAGAGAAATATTGTATTCGGAGTCATCAGTGGAACCTGGGCAGAAGTAGGTGGAAGGATGCTACTAATGCCAAYGCTGCAAAGATACGGCAAAACAAGGACCAAGCTGGATCTTGGAGCAGCTGTTTATGATTTCATGATGATACGAACAACTGAAAACAATATTCATTTTTCAGGGAGCTGATTTTCACATGTGGGTTTTTATTGATTGGAGATAATGTCCACAAAATTTTTGCAAATAATTTCCAAYACCCTGATTAAAGGACTTAACAATTTACATCTCAGCCATAATTTACAGAAAATTAAATGCCAATTCTATGGTAAATAAAACAGCAGTAGCATGGCATTTCTGTTTCATAGTAATTATATGGAGTTTTATTCACCCACTAYCAAAGTCAGTGTAAAATATGCAGAAAATTAAAGAAGGAGCCTTTATTAAGTTTAAAGAAAAACTCAAATGCTGATGACTTATAACTAGACTTTGTCACTCTCTTGTTTCAGGCTTTTGGGGGAAGAATACCTTGTCAACCTGCAGTCAAATCAGAACTTGCATTTTAATAGCAACATCACCAAGGTCTTTTAAGTGACCTAGGTCAGCACGCTCTTGTGAGCAGATTCTTGGGTCACTTTCCAAATCACCACATGAACTTTAGCCAGAAAACAAAGCAGGGCAGCCAKCAAGTTTCAAGAGATTTTTAAAGAGAGATTTTTTTTTTCCTGATCAGGATTTCCTATTTCCTATATTCCTATCAGGATTGCAGTATTGCCTTTCTCAAGCTGTCATCTGGGAATACATTTCTCACTATAGAATGTCACATTCACCATATTTGGAGTGACTTTTATTCAAACCTTTGCATTTTATGTGCTCAGGTATCCATGGATAGTGAACAACAAGAGAAAGATCCGGCAGCCATGTGAGCATCAGCTTCATGGTAATGTTGTGGGTACAGGAGAATGAAGGGGAAAAGGTTACTTGTCTACACCAAGGCCCAAGAGAAAACAAGTAAAAAATACAAGATCTCATTCCTCCATATCACACGATGAGCCCAAAGGAATACAAATTGTATTTATTTAGACTGGGACTGATAAAACAGAGAGAAAAGGTGATTTCCTCCCATGGATAAACAACAGAGAAAGAAACTACATACAGAACAATCTTCTCTTTCTTCAAAAACATACAAACAAACAAACAAACAAACAACGAAAACAACAAAACCACCACCAACAAAAAATCCCCACCAAGATGCAGAGAAAAAAACTCTTGTACAAGCTAGCAATCATCACGGGTACTCACCGTGGCATACAAAGCTGAGTAGATGCTCAGAGCAGCATGTTTGGATGGGAAGGATCTTCTTGCCTTCTCAATCACGTCCACATCCCCGGTGCAGATGTTCCCGTTGTTTATGAACTGGTGATGCGTGCGGCAATCGTTCCCCGTGTAGTTGGGCTTACAGACGGTCAGGAAGTAAGGAGCCAAGTTCCCSGTCACAACCTGGCCAGCGTTTACAAATATGTCAGTGGCAAAAAGTCCGAATGCAAAAACTCCTGCAAGGAAAGGTAAAAAGTAGTTATTACTCAAAGATGGTTAAAATAATCTTGGCCCTTGAAAGAAAAGGAAATAATGAGAGGCAAGGAAGAAAACCCTGCAGTAATTGTACAGAAAAGTTCTCTACCAAGATCAGAGTTCTGCTTCAAAGGCCTCATATAGAAGAGGTCATGGGTAACTCTAAGAGATGCTTAACTGAGCAACTTGAGAAGGACTTAAAATCAGKTTGAAAATGTTAGACATGTGCCTAAGTTCTTTTATGACGCAAGTTCTGGCAACAATTGTGAGAGTTACTGATTTCACTGAAAACTCAGCAGGTCTATGTCTGCACAGTTTACTACACAAAAGGCTCAGAACCAGTGAGGTTTCCTGTACACAAATTATTAAAAATATTTATGYTTTTTTTAACCAGATATGGGTTAAAAAACAGTCAGAGCAAGGACTCTGAGCTACAAAGAAGTAGTGGAAGAGCTGTACAATGCTTACACACCGTACTGTCTTAAGAATGRCTAGCTGGTGTCGAACATCTTACAGATTTTGCCTGTCTATTCTGATGTGGAAAAAATAAGATCCTGATTTGGCAATGTTGGCCAGTTTCCTTGGGCCATATCCTAATGCTTTGCAGCAGAAAATGCTTCCCACACAGCTGCAGTTCAGCTTGTGGTGGTGGTATTACATATCTTCAAATGCTGCAAGAGGACACATGCACTTTAACCAAGAGGCATATCTAGGGTCGTGCAATGCCCTTGCTCAATCTTGTAGCTGCCACATCCTCCACTGACTCCCATGTGAGTGTTACAAATATCTGAATAAATGTACACAAGGATCTTTRGTTATGTATGCTGCTCATACACTGAAGGAACAGAACAGCAGGTCTGCAAGAGCCAAACTCCCAAAAAAGTAGATCAGCTCCCCTCTCTCCCTACCCAATCTCTAAGCAGATTGAAGTAACACAAAAATTTAGGATAAATAAATACTTTTATTATGGTCTGCAAATATTAGGATCATATATTTTTTGCCTTTCCCTCCCTATAGCTCTATAGATTAAAGTCATTCAAATTATAAAATAGCTAAGATTGACATGTATTTAAGTGAAGWCAAGAGCTGAAGCTCCAGGGAAAACGGCTAATTTTAGGAGGACTGTGACAAAATCCTGAGTGCTGGCAACAACATGGTTGTAATTTCATTGCTTATTAGTACTGTGTTAAAAAGAAAGTCAYATGGAAAAAGACTCTTATGGTCTGAGAAAGAAAGATACCAGGGATTCAGCAATATAATGCAATGGGAAATGTTTTGCATCAGTATAAATACTTCTGTGTTGGAAGGAAGAAGCAGTGCCACAGTGAAGGTGTGAAGGTGATCTTGGGGATGAGTTTATTACCAAAGCTCCAGGCCACAAGGTAGAGCCCCCAGAGAATGGTTAAAGAATATCCACCTGCTGTCTATTCACCTGCTCTGTGACCACACTAATAAAAAGCTGGCCATGGCCAAGGCAGGAGATTAGAGAACACGCCTCACTTGGGATCACACTGGCTCCCCAGGGAGATGAACTCCAGGGATGAACACTGCTTCATAAACTCCCTTTGGAGATGGTTGTTAAAAAACATCAGCAAAGCTTGCTTTAGATAGCACCTTCTTGATGTTTTGTGCAAATGACAGTGACGATTATTACCCTACTCTCTACAATACACCAGGGAAATCTAAAAATGAAATGCTGAGGTAAGCCCCRTGGTTTTTCATGCATAAGCCAATGCATGTCAAGAATCACAGCAATTCAGAAAAATCTCATGGATTTCGAAACGTTAGTTCAAACTCCAAATACTGCATGGCTGCAAAGATGTTTCAAATTACTTTCTCTATACAAAAAAAAAAAAAAAAAAAAAAAAAAGGAAATGTCAACAACTGCATTGGCTTAGTGTTWAGTAGCACCAAAAGTGCTGGTCCAGACTCATCTCTCGAGGACTGCAGTCCCCTTGCTACAGCAGAACAAGCTATGCTGTAAATACTTATCACGCTTTCAGTTGTGATACATATTGATCCATGTAATCCCCTCCTGCAGCTCTGCCAAATTGTGCCTTATGAAAATCCTGGCTGTATGAAGCAACAAATTCAGCCAGCAAGAATTTAACCCTTCCTGATGGTACTGATCATATACCAGGTACTCTCAGGAGACCTTCAGGTTGGGCCAACTGTTACTAACTGAAAAGGTTGTAACACCAGCGAGACGGGCACTAATGGCAARTCCCCAGAAGGTTTTTACACCTTAAGAATGCACCTGCTCAGTGGGCTTGTTCAATGGCCTGCATCAGCTACACTGACTAGAGCACATGAATGCAGTGACATTGTTGTTAGGATTTTAGAGGTAGGCAAATCACAGCCAAAAGGCATCTCTGACGGGTAAGTAGCTCTAGCTTTTCAGGGTTATACAGCTGAAGTCTGCGATAAAATGCCACAGAGAGAGGGCAGGAGCCTGTGTACCTCTCACAGTCTTGGATGTTTGGGTTTAACAAGAGGTAATTTCCTCCTGCTAAGCAGCAGTCCTTACTGCAGCTCTGTAACTCTGGCCAAGAAACCTGGGGAATTAGGCTTAGTCCAGAAGGCATCATTTGCTGAGAGAAGATATTAATAATGCATTCTACAAGGGTAAAAATCCCTGCAAAATGCAGCCTGTACAGTTGTTAACTAGCAGAGAGGAGGTATAGGGGTTCATTTCATTTATACAAGGCATCTAACACACACACAACTAGTGCAGCTGCACAGAGAAACCTTTAACAAGCAGCAGAAGTTTAAATCTTCCCAGCTCCAACTCACTGAAATCAATATTTTCCTTGGAAGAAGAATATAGCTCTGTAGCAGTTTCAACTCTCAACGCTTCAACTTGTCTGGTTGTACCTACTGTAGATCATAGCCAATCCTCCAAGCAATAGCCCAAAACTCATGGGTTATTGCTGAGATGCAGCTCCAAAGGTCGTTATGGTCCTGGGTTCCCTGTGTTGMCACCTCCAGCTATGCCTGTTGTTTACCCTGATATAAACAACTGTCCTGTAGAACAGTCCAGCTTCACCTCTCTCACTGKAGCTTTAGTATCATGCTATTTCCTCCCTACAGTTTTTGCTCAAGCTTTCCCTGCACTGAATCTCTCTGACATCAGTGACTGCAGCTGTCTGTTGACTCCATGGAAATCCTCATTAGTACAGGCATTTAAAATGACACCTATTTGAAATAAAAAGAAACAAACAAAAAATCCCAGAAGCTGTAGAATAACTGAATAAAAGATATTGGGAAGACAGAACTGAGAAATCATGTAGCAGAAAGAAAAATGAAGAGGTAGAAGTCTTTATTGAAGAAAAAGACATGAAATCCTTAAGTGACATGAAAAAGGAAAAAAGAACTGCAGACTCATGAAATACAAGGAGCTGTCTTCCAGGTCAGTTTCCCAGTCTTGGAAGTTTATTCAGCTACTCCTCTATTTCCCAGCGTCCAGTGAATTGTCTGAATTTGTCATACTCACCTTACTTAAAAGCTTATCTATTACATATGCAGATGTGCGCAAACACACACACCCCATGCTCTTTAATAACAATTAAAATTCAAATGCAGGGAGTCTTCAAGACTCTTGGTTCTACAGAAATGCTGATCCTCAGACCATACTTGAAGGTTTTGCTCTAATGGTCCTTATGTGCAGCCAATTAAACCACTATAGCATCATGCCCTGAGCTCTGCTAAAGAACCCTTCATCACTGGACTTTAAAGAGTGTAATTAAATGAAATCTCTATTGTTATATCATTTTGAAGCTAAAGAAAGAGAGGGGCACAGGGACATTTATCAGACGTTGCAGAGACACCAGTACCAGGCTCTACTGCTAGCTTCTTCCARGCACACATAACCTGATTCCATCCATGACTGGAATCAGAACCAATTGTGTAGGTCTGTAAAGATCTTGCATTGCAAATGGCTCCAGCGATCTGTCAGTTCTTGTGCCTGCTTCACCAGTGAGCATCCTGCCTGGATAATGTCCTTTCTCTGTGTCAGAAGAGGCATTGTCTGATTATACAATAATAAATTTGGGTACAAGTGCAAAACAACACTGGAGTGCTAAGACCATGAACCAGATTTCTTCTTTTATGCTTCTTTTTCTATTAATTTTCATTTAGGCAACAGTCAGCTAAGAGCCTGGCACAAAAGGGAGTGATAAAGTTTGCTCGGTCCCACAAACAATGATCTATTTCACTTGTAAGAAGCGATACCTTGGGAGCAGCTGCAGCAGTTCAATTTAGAGGCCGCACACCCCTATTCAACCATGAGTCCTTTTGAAAGACGGCCTGTTAATAACAGACACACACTACTTCACAGTGAACTRCAGATCCAAGGCAGACAGAATGATAAGGCTGGGCCAAATACATCCTGAAGCTGCCTACAGAACTGACATCAGAGTTCTTTATCTATCTGCCTTATTTCAATACACCCAATGTGTGTATAAATCTTGTAAAGCATTATTTGCTGAAATAAAGCCTTAATTTGTTTAAACAATACCTTGATTTCATTAGTTAGCTGCCCACTGCCATGCTTTAAATTAAGCAGTCAGTGGAATTTGATTTATTAATTGCAAATTATGCAACTGCAAAGTAAAGGTCATTGGCAAAAAATAATGTGGTATCTTGCATTTCTAAATATCTGAACTGGAGAGACGCTACTTGTGTGTTATCAGGGTTCTGCAGGTATACAACTTAATCACATGGGTCACCTAATCACCTAATATATTGAAAAACAACAACAATGTACACTCCAGTTAGCCTGCCAGACTGAACCAGTGAGATTTGAATTGATGATCCAGGGGGGACTAGAGCAGCTGTATATAAACAGTTTAACTAATTCCTTGATGGAGTCTATTTGCTAAATAAGCCTAAATAAATTTAGAGCCTCTATTTGCAATACTAATGGTGAAATAGAATAGGGAGATAAACGCAAAATGGTAAGAGGTTAATGTGGGTACAAAAGGGGAAACTGGCAGAAATAATAGTGAATAAAAATGCAAAAAAGCTATGTGCACACAAGTGGGCAGATATGGAGAAGAGGCAAAGACCCAAGAAAAAATCAGTCACTCTTACTCCCTGGTTTCTTAAAGATTGAGTACATAAACTGTGAATTTTGATATAAAAGATTTGCAGTTCAACTACTGTGAAGAATAGGGGGTAGAAGGAGAAGAGATGATGTGACTGGAGAATTGCAGTGCAGCCCCAGTTTTACACAGAGATGAAAGATGCACCAAAGCAATCACACACCATTTGTTTGACCTGTAAAACTTCACAATAAATATCTCTGGAAAAGTTAAGAAAGAAATAGGAAAATGGGGTAACTTACAACAGATAACAAAGCCTAATGTTTCCAGGCTAAGGTGTTTTTTCTTCACTGATAAAATAATTGGTTTTCTAACATGGGAATCATAGCAGATCCCGCCTCTCTGTGCAGTAAAGGATGTGATACCCCCTAATGAGCCAAGTTGAAAGGCAGCACTCTACCTCAAATAGAGCTGTCTAACACAGTGTAGAACCCATACCTGGGCAAGGAAGAAAGAATAAATTTTGGATTTATTTCTGTGGCCCAAGAACCAGGTAGGAATCTAAGAAAAAGACCCACCTTAAAAAAAACTCATTAAACTGAGGAGGAGAGAACCTTTAAAGATTGCTTAGATTGCTGTTGCAGGATGAGGAAAATAAAGAGATTTTAAGCAGGGTCAAGCTAAGAAAACAAGTTAAAAGAACCATTGTAAACATCCGAGGAAAGTTTTGTGGGGGTGCAAGGTTGCTTAATTGTTTGCATTGGTATTAGAGTGCAAAAACATGCCTTGGTGTGTAAGCAAGGAAGAAGATTCAAGTGTAGCTAACAATCCTAAGGAGACTGTATGCCAATGATGTTTACTCTTCACATTAAAGAGAGATAATTTTGAATTTCTCTTTTTCAATTCTCTTTCCTTACAAAGTCTGAGTGAAGATTCTGTGAAATAGCTATAGTTTTCTGTCTGATGTAGGTAAAGCACAGTTAGGTTACTGCTTTTAAAACATTGGTTTTTTATTTTTCCTGCTATCTCTGGTTACCGTCATGGATGGGCAAGAAGCACCTCTGCCTTTCTAAGTTTGGAGAAAAGAGACSTCAAAGGCATTCTATCATGTACCTTCATCTCCTTGTGATTATCCAAACACCAACTGTGATCACTGATGAGATAAAGCAATATTCCAGGGAGTTAAATCCCTACTCCTTTAATGAACTCTCTGAAGACTCTTGCTCACATGTCTAGATAAAAGAGATTATTAGAAGTGAACACTGCAAGTAACTGTAACCAAGGCTAGACTGGCAGGAATCTTCTGGGCAAGAAATCAGACTGCRTCCTAGGGTTTTCTGGGTGATAAACTGCTTAATTAATTCTGTAAGTTACAGCCCTCATGTTTAGTAAGGGTAGATACTGGCATATGAATGCACATATGAACAACTTAGTAGCTTCTGCAGAGCCAAGCATCCAGTTATCTTCTGGGTTTTTGAAACAAGCAACTGTGTGAAGGTAATACCCCTAATCAGCTACAGATGGGTCAGGATCAGTCAGGGTTAAGACTTCCATATRCATTTGCAATTTCAATGAAAAAAGTACAATTATATTTAATTCTTTTTATTAATTATATCATCCACTTTTCAATAAACTGTCTCACTTTACTGTACAAGGTAAGGGGAGAAGGTTTCTGGCACAAAAAAAGCAAAAAAAATCAGTGTAGCTAAACTGACATTTTAAGCCACTTCTAATAAGGTTAACTTCCTTTCTCTCTGGAAGACAAATAAAGCTATAGAGACAAAATTGATTTCTCTAGCAAGGTTCATATTTTGCTACCCTCTGAGGGTCTACTATTGCCCCCTCTTCCTCTATTTCAAGCAATAGCATGAAATTTTAAGAATAAAGCTAATTAAAATAGAAACAGCATAGAAAGAGATAACTATAAGAAAAAATATACAGCAAGTGCTTAGCCTCCCGGGTCTAAGCTCTTTTAGTGCTGACCCTGCAGGCAGAAGTATTTGATTAGGACTTTGCAACATGCTGAATGWGCTCGAACAGCCAAAAAGCCCTGAGTGGCCAAGTGGATTCTGGTGCCCTGCTTCCCTCTTAATAGCAGTTTACTATCCATCAATATATCCTAGAGGTTATGTGAAGTTCAAGGGTATTTCATTTTTAATTATGTTTCAGTGTCTTTTATTTTTACTAGCAACACACAGGCCAGGTTTGAGTAATGGACCATGGGTGGCTTGTCTTCGTTCCTGGAGCAGGGGAGGGTAAAATGCTATTTTACTTCATTGTGTCATGCAGAATCCAGGAATAATCCCTGTATGCCCCACAGGGAGCATGCAGCTGCCTCTTTTGTAGGGCTTATCCCCACTGTTTGCTTATTCTTCCTCCCCTTTGGTGTTCTCGGTGCTCCCTCTATGGGAGATAGGAAGAAGAAAAAAAGACTGTGCCTGTTCCTTCCCTGCAGGATAAATCTGCTGGAAATGAGAAACTTCATGRCAGGTGGGGTGTTTTCAAACCCCATGATCTGTGCAAAGCTTCCTGCTTGCAAGCAGGACCACACTCCATAGAAGAAATATGATCCTCAGTGTTCTCAGACCAGCCTTTTCTTTTCCAGGTAAAAATCATGAATTCAGCAGTGACAGGGAAGAGAAGATTCAGCAATTTGCAGCATTTCACTCAGAAGTTTCTTTTACCAGAGACTGTGAGTTGAGGCACAGCTCTGTGATGGGCAGCAAAGAAGTATGCTCCAAGTCTAAAAGTGAACAGCGAAGGAGGTACCACGACTCCCTGTGAATAAAAGATCTTCCTTSTCAGTGGGAAACAACTTACAACTCATGCCAGCAGCAGGGCAATCTACTTAACCCCAAGCACCAGCTCAAGCCCTCTCAAGAATGAGTGCGAAGGAATGAAGTCAGAGACACTTTCATGATCTCTTCAGAGCTGCTGTCTCCTCACCCTGGTACTAGAGGCAAGCAGTAAATGAGCAAACACTGCTCCTTGTTTCTAAACACCCAGATAGGAGGTCTGGCCAGCTTTAAAAGGCTGCGAATTGGGAAGTCTTGATGGAACAACCACATGCTCTGTTGGTGCCACGCAAGTAATGCAAGCTGCAATGCTGATCCTCTTCCCACTGTGAAAGAGTCATGAGATGATGCCTCAGCGAGATCTCATAGGCATTTTTCCATTAAAAAAGCTTGGCAAAAAAGGTGCAGCTCTTTGTAAGAATCATACACATCAACCTCCAAACAACTCAGWATGTCTTCAGTAGTTCCTCAGCGATTAACCCAATAAAATTCCAAAGAACAACAACAGCTACAACAACAAAACAATTAGAATAAAAATAAGAAGTTAATTTCATGGTGAGCTCAGGCTTTTTTTACACAACACTATGATGAATATTACCTACTGGTATTCTAGATCTTGAAATTAGTATTGAAAAGAAAAATGCCAAAGAGATGGACTGCTGAGTACAGGTTTGCAAGTAAAAAGTGTAGCTTATGCGGAATAGCAGTGATGGAATTATTCATATAAGAATTTGRTCAGCATAACTTTTCTTCAAGAGTCCAGAAGAAGCATGAAGCTCAGCAGAATAAGATATAAATGAGCTCCCCACAGCATGATATGGCACATTTCAAACATTACCTTGAAAATCCCAAGGGGGACTATCCCTCTAAGATGGAAGACGCCTGCAAAGATTTCACAGCTTAATTAATTTTGTGCTGCAGATCTTTATGATCTTTTGTTCTGTTTTTGTGCAAACAGGGACCAAAGTCATTGTGCTTAAGGATATACTTACCTATAAAACGTATTATTCTTCGAAGCAGTGGGTTCAGGTAACAGCACTCTCCAGTCAAAATAGTTTTCTCTTGAATAATTAGACTTTCTCGGGTTGACTTTATGAAATACATGGATATTTCGCCAATAAAAATCTATCAGGAAAGAAGAAGAAGGTTAAAAACAKCATGAACAAACATTAAAACTTTGACGTCTGATTCCAGCCCAAAGAAACTACTACACACCTATGTGATTCTAGGACACTGGATTTCCACAGTGAAGCTGCACTTACTCATTTGGGATGTAGCAATATAGACCAGGCTCACAGCCAAGAAGAGAGTCTGTCATTATCACACTCAGTTGCAAGCCAAAGCAAACGCTCTCACACTAACTCCTGGGATATGGAGAAGAAGCTTTATTATTACTGTGGCACACACTAGCTTCTGYTTTTACTGCTATTATACCGAATTTGTCATGTTAGGCTTTTCGTATTTGAAATTTGCTGCTAGAATATAGATTACAAATGGTAGGTTTCTGTATACACAAGAAAGTGGAAAGTAGTCCCGAAGACATCCACCCCAATCAGCAAGCCTCAGAAATACCAGCGACAGATCATCTTTAAAGACAAATGTTTCAGGTTGCTGTCATGTCTCCTTGAACCTACTGTCTACTGAGGCTCTCAACAAGGCTAGGGAGCTCCAGATAACTTTGAAATTTAGTTGAAATATGTGTACAGTGGAAATTGGTCTGAAGATGAAAAGCTTTTCTGAAGCAAAATCAAAATTTTGAAGGCCAAAATTTGAAAGGCCAYATCTATACCAGAAAAGCAAAAAGTGGAAGAGTATGGGCCCAGCAATGTTAGACAGCCATCCTTATCATTACATTGCTAGTTTGGTCCCCCACATACATTGGCCTGGTGACTRTAGTCTCTTGGGAAATGCTTGGGACAATGCCCAAAGAGAAGGTTGGACCAAGCCACTGTTCTTTCATCTGAAAGAGCCTAGCCAATGAGCCATGTAAGCTAGTCTGAGGGCCAGAGATGGTTCCTGGTTCCAGAGATGGTTCCAGTTTATTTACTAAGAAATGACCTGTTATGTTTATTAGAACACTGACATGTAGGAATCCAGAGATGGTTTCATCTTGATGTTATCTGTATTTATGTACTAAATTTTTCTAATGAGGACATTTATTCTTTCTGTTCAGTATGATAAATRTTTCTCATATGAATAGGATCAGGATTTCCAAAGCACTCAGAATTAGTTTAACTCTATTGCACAAAAGTCAGATATGTGCCCTAAGTAAAGCCAGAGAGGATTTGATCACAGGCAGTGATGGCCATTGTGAGCAGGCACTTCAAAAATCCCATCTGTTATGTTTTGTCAGTATGTTTCAGAGAGGGAGACTGTGTATTTTAGAAAGATAGAGTATGAAATGCAATTCTATTGAAAAAGAAGCCATCCTGAAGTGGAAGACATAAGCTYTTAAAATGAGAATGTTCAAAAGAATTCATTTAACTGTATTATTATAAGACATGCAAGAAGAATTCATAYCATTAAGGAAGGGCCAAAGAAAAACGAAAGTGTGTGCGTACACACATGCATGCACTCTCACAACTATATAGAGTTAGTATAAATACCAAATAAATATTCCTAGCTGCCACGTATCAAGGGCAACACTTTATTCTTATTAAGCCAGATAAGCACCCTTATTGATTATTGGCATTCAAGCCAAGTTGTTCAACCTCTTTATAATTCTAGCCACTGATGGCCAGAGCTGCAGAGTTGTAAAATGTATGTCRATAATGGCATCTGGTTGTAGGAGCCAATGCATGAAAGCCTTACTGAAATATTGCCTTTATCCTGTTTCATTCCATCTGCTCTTAACAGAATTGGCAAGCAATTCAATAAGCCCAGCACACTAACTATGGGGGTGGGAATTAAGAAAAAGACCATCTGCACAAATGCAGTTTAAAAGTGATACTTTATTTCAAATAATTTATTATCTGAGTTATGCTAACACTCAGAAGTTTGAGTTAATGCTTTGGGTCTCTGTCTGCCAGGGGCTGTACATACTCTTTGAGAACTGTTTCATACCCTGAAGAAATTAGAGTCTGCAGAGAAATGAGTTATTAGATTAAAAAAAAATCAAAAACTTTTCAAACAAGAATTAGTTAGATATAAGGCAGAATCATAGTCTTCCTCCTTTAAAAACACATACATTTTAGAGTGCATTTGCAGTTGATACTAGCTAAACATTTTTATTTCATTTCCATTTCCAACTTTATTTCTATGAATTTAATTATCTGGCAATTATTCCTAGCAATTCCCATACAGGTAGATTAGTTTCATCTATTCAGTTTAGGAGGTAAATGTTGCTATGGCATAAATCCATTCAACTCCATTCTACAGACTTAAGCATAGCTTTTCCAGATTTCCTCCAGCATAGCAGATCAAAAAGTGATTTTTTTGTTAAGTGAACAATCCTTTTGCCTTAATATATGCCTTAATATTTGCCTTAGGTGTATTGTGAGGTTACATAAAATCGGTCAGCATAAACTGGATTATTCATCTGCTCCTCTGGTACTGAATCTAGTTGCCTCAGTTTGAGAATTGTGTTTCACCAAACCCTGGACTCTAGAAAAAAAATTAAAGCCTTGAACTGCTCTCTGAAAATTCAAGGGCTCTTAATTCTGACAGCTAATCTACCTGTGCAAAATTAAATGGGGTCTGAAGACTCCATTAAAGAAATGATCTTTTTTTTTCCCCTCTCCAGGCAGATTTGAAGAAGAGTAGCTCTGACTTTCTTAATTCAAAACCCGATGATTCTTCATGCAAAGTGTCCATATCTGGCCAAGTTCTCCAGCTGGCCTCCCTGAAATCAATCTGACACTGACACTATTAAGTGCCTGAGTTCTTGCCAGAACAGAATTAGCAACCCAGGAATTGCTACCGTTCAGTCACAAATCTGAAATCTAAATATACATGCACAGTTACGGGTGGAAAAATAAAAATCAAACAATCTACTTATATTTTTATTAGGAAAAAATGCAAAGTTCATGGACTTCCAGATCATGCTAGCTTAATAAAGTAGTAGGAATGACAAGAAAATTGCAGTGGAAGTTGGGGTCTTTTATTCAGTGCTAGAAACACAAGTATCTGCAGTCTGAAGTGATGTTTGTCATAGGAATGCAAATCTAGTGTCAAGTAGTCACTGGGTATAATTTTGATCTCAATATCATGACTAATAGCAGCTTAACTCCACTGTGGAGTGTGCTGGTTGGAGTTTTTTGCTTACATTCCTCTAATTATTAAAATTAGGTATAAATACTACAGTGGTGTGTGAAAGCCCCACTGGAGATACCTCCCAGTAGCCACTTTTCCTTTGCTTTTTTCAATCTGTCCCGCAACAGACCTCTTCTTCACCCATTCCAGCCATTCCATTACCAACGGCTTTACTAAATACTCGATCCTCCGTCTTCCTTCAGAGAGGATCCTCAGATCCTCTCTGTTGCCTRTGCTGCTGTTGCTTTTTTCCATCTCAGTTTCAGCGAAGTGTATAATAAAATGACCTTCTCATTTTCTTTATCAACAGGCCTTTGTTCATAATAGATTTCAATTTGCACAGACATAGTTAGGAAATAATATTCTCCAAGTCATGGCTTTACTTCTTTCAAGTAGTGAAACTGCATCTTCTTCCATCATGTTCTAAGCCCAATATGGGCACCCTCCCTTCCCTGCACTGCTCTACAGATTACAAACAGCTTGTTTATTTGTTCATTAATTATTAATCAACAAAACAACATATATGTTGTTTTTAAAAGCAAATAGAAGTTTTTATCTTCAATCATAATTTTTTTTTTAAAAAAAAAACTTTTGGATGAGCTCACTGTCTCCTTGACAAGTTATTCTTTATACAATGGCCCTCTAGAAACAGTCTATGTGTAAAGGCCAAGAAGAGATGTTTTAATTAGGAAAAAAAAGTAAGAAAAACTGGCCTGAAATAAATCTAGGTGAAGACTGAAAGAAGGTTTCAGAAGCGTGGCAATCTGGAACAACCCTCCTGCAGCAACTGTGCAGAATTAGATGAGAATGGGAGGTTGCCTTGAATGTTTTATTGACTTCATGAAGTTGATTCCTTGATGATCCTGTAGGCACAGCCAGTGATTCCACATTCATTTCTTTAACTCTATTTGTTTTTCTTATCAGAATATCATCTTCAGAACATCATGTAACTCACTTCAAATAAATCTTCAAGCAAAGTTGAGGCTGCACTCCTGCTTTACTCCCCAGGCATCACTTGCTGTATGTCTCTTCTAACAACAAAAATCCTTCTGTTCAGCCATGTTTCTCCAAACCCCACTGGGTACAGTACCATGATATGTTTTCTACTATGCACAAACTGGCATGTCATACACCATCATGTTCCAGTATCTTCTTCTTTTCACTTAATCACTTTGGAATCCACTGGCTTCATTTGAAAACTCACACTACACTCACTGCAAMTTAGTTTAAAACCACAGAATTACAGAATGGTTGAGGATATGGCAAGGGATCCCTAGAGACCATCTAGTTTAACTCTCCTGCTCCAGCAGAGCACTTAGAGCACGTGGCACATGGTGGCATCCAGGTGGGTTTGGAAGATCTCTASGGAAGGAGACTACACAACCTCTCTGTCCTGTGTCCAGTGCTCTGTCACCCTCACAGTGAGTAAGTTCTTCATGTGCAGAGAGAACTTCCAGTTCCAGAACTTGTATCCATTACTTGTATCCATTACTTGTCCTATTACTGGCCACCACCAAGAAGAGTTTGGTCCCATCCTCCCTACATTCTCCTCTCAGGTGATTATACATACTGATGAGATCTCAGTCTTCTTGGTTGTCCCTCTTCTAGCCAGATTGGATGATTTGTATCATATATCATATGCTACATGATTTATATGAGTGCTCATCTGGAACTACTTTCCTGTCTCCAGTTTGTCGGTTCATGAGTGAATGTTTGAACACTATTTTTCCATTTTTAAGATTTTAAAAGAATGTTGGAGTCATGTGAAAATTTGCTGTACAAAGCTTTAACTTCAGTTGCATTTCTATGTAAACAAAGAAGGAAAATGGCAGCGAGGACTCACAGCAAAAATTTGGGGAGCAAAGCTCAGCAGA